GTTATGTGCACCGAAACGTCCTGCTCGAGACTAAAGTGATCGTGGTCATGGATGGAGAATTCTCGCACGATCGAGTCTCCGGACCTGCTCTCGCCTTCACGGCCGCGGGCGAGTCTTTCCACATAGTCAGCCCAAGAGTCTTCGGCACGATGTCTGACCATGTCCAAATCGGCCTGGTCGAGCCCGCGCCCGGTTCTGTGATGCTGCATAACATATCCGATCGTGTTGAGCCGGAATCGCGTCATCTGGCTGGCCCCGGAGGGCATTGTAGGTAACAAGAAGTAGTCGGGTCGTCTGATGACATGTTTGAAATCAAGATGTCTCTGGAAGAACTCCGGATCCAGGAGAAATTTAGCACCTATGACAGCCAGCCACTCGGGAGCGACGTTGCCGCGTATAAAGAGCAATCGCCCTTTGATATCAGTCTGTGCTTCTAGATTGAGGTTAGTGAGCTGTGTCGATAGACTGAAGTGATGAGTCGAATTGTTGCCTCGGTCGCCAAAGCAGTATAGGGTAACATAGCTTGTGTCAACCATGGGTTCATTGGCAGACACGTTCTCATGAGAGCTCGCAGCGTTGTGCCTCTCATATGGACCCAGCAAATACGCTGCGAGGTTGGCGAAGTTGGTTCCAGGATAGACAGTTTCTGCCGCAGAGCGCTTAGAATGAGACTCGACAAGACGAGCATAATCTTGTGGTGAGACTGTCAAAGGTTAGCCTCGGGCTTCAACAGGCGGACAGGTACAGCTGACTCGTTTTCTTCGATTCTAGCTCTGGTCTTGTGCGAGTTGTTGACGGGAAAGCTGAAGGTGCCAGTGTTGCCATGGTATTTGTAGTAACGACTAGCGATTTACACAATGTGCTCTTTTTTTTGCCTTTTCTTCTTTTTTGTCTTTAAAGAAAATTGTAACAATCAAACGATTGTGCGCAGTCCAGCGTTGTGTAACCCACCTTCAGGGTTCCTTGGAGGGTCTAAAGGACAGAGAGAGCAAGGCTTGGCCAGTCGCACAAGGCAACTTGGTTAGTGTGCTGCGGCTCGGTTCGAGCGATCAATTCGCCTTGCTCAGCCTGAGGGCGACTCAGTAAGGCTTCTCGCGCGGTAGGAGTACGCCAGACGAATGCTCGAGTTATGATACAGTGTCTTGAATGGATGGGCGTTCCCTTGGGGGACGTCCTTCCGCCACGGTCGTACCCACCTCTTCCGTAACAATGCAGCTTATTTCCTTGTCGTTCTGTCCCAACTTGTAGCTAGCTCGCAGCCTTTGTGGTTATTATTCCCATGCCTCCGAAGAGTGCTTCTGAATCGACTCGTATCCGTATCGCTTTGATTGTCGCTCTCGTACCGGTAGGATAGCAGTGAAGTCAGGTGCCCCTGGCTGTCGTAGTCTCTCAAGGCAGGTGTGCGCGTTTTGCTCGTTTGCCGCATGTTGTAGTGACGGTGGACAGTCGGCGATAGAGGGGGCGCATATCGCCCCGAACTTGTATCCAACTCCTCAGGAACCTTTCAGGCACTACGTATAGCCAGGAGCCGCATGTAGAACTCACTTCGAGCCTAGCCGTAAGCCTTCTGCGCTTAATATCACGCCTTGTTTTTACTAGGGTACAGTTCCTTCTTCACCGCACCAGTAGCATACCCCATCGCCTGTATTCTTCTTGCGCGTACGAAATGTACTCGACTTAGGTAGCTCATGTAGGGCTACGAAGCGTAGCTCCGGCCGTAGATAATTCACAAGGACCTAGGCCTTCTGTTCCTCGGCCGTGGGGTTAGGAACCTCGTCCTCGACCTCGACCACTGAGATTGGTCCCCGCACCGAGAGAGTCCCTTGTTGTAGCAGTTTTGGCTTGAGAGATGAGTCCGCCATGCGGTTTGCAGTGTCCTGGACCATATCCGGTAGGGCACTCGCAAGATATGACCACACCATGGACCGCGCAGGGAGACGACTCTCCTACCGTAGAGCTTCGTCGTGTAGGTAGGACGCGGCGAATGCGACTCGCCTACTCTCGTAGTACTCCTCCACGGAGCCGAAGTATACTTCATACCCTAAGTGGAAGTCGCGAAGTTCCCACAGCGACGCGCCGCGATACGCCGGCGGTGAGAAACCACGCTTATGTCTCACTGTGAGATCCTGAGACGCGGGGGCTTACCTATACCCCCGAATATACTGCTGCTCGTAGGTGAATTTCCTGATGGCTCTCACTAAATTCTCTTCATTCTCCTGGAGCTGTTTCTTTTCGAGGAGCGTCGCACGCAACCAAGTGTGACGCTCCGCATCGTCTTGACTTCCCCCTCTTCAATGGTTGTGCCTCCCCCTGTGATTGGCGTGGGTCGTCGTCAGGATGGTTCACGAGCAAACGCGCGTGAAAGCCGCTGACACACGAGTCCGTAGCCGAGAGTTTTACGGGCGATGTCGTACGCGGTTCGAATAAAAGGATATTCGTGATTTTGACAGGCCCGTATAGTCTTGCTGGAGTCTTTCTTCTTGATTTGAGGCCATCTTTGAAATGATGAGCCTGATGGTTGGACAATTGTAGAACAGGTGGAGTAGTGGTATTGACGTGTGACGTGCGTGGGTCTTACACCAGCAGTCCATTCGTTCGATTCTCGATCCGGCTGTCTTGCGTTCCAAAGTGGCCTTGCTGGCTAAACCCAAATTTCACTTTGGAACATGAATATTTGTAAAACAACTTCACTACAACACACAAGCCGTCTGTTAGTCATGGTGATGCAGGTCGGACAGTTTTCGGCCTGGCGCTCTGAGCGTCGAGGCCTGCAGTGGCACCTAGCAGCATCACCCCTCACCAGCAAACACATCGCACCTACCAAATGCGCACCGAACTTTACCGAAAAGCTGGGAAATGGGGTAAATTCTGATACTACTAATGCCAAATGAACAACCTGCACCGTTGCTACCACCCCTCGTTTCGAAACATTTCAATATTCAGCTCCACATCTGCCTACCATGACGCGCTCGGTGCGGGCTGCGCGTAGAACAAGGAACCTGCACCGGGTCGGCCACTTGTTGTTGTTTGAGCTTCACGACCTCAAATATGTTGCAAGTCATCGATTGAAGGTGAGCCGAGGGTCTTCGATATCTGTGCAGGCGGATTTCGCTAATCTCTATCGTGAAAAGTGTCCCGACGGTATAGGATGGCCAACCAAAGCCTTGCTAACAATCTTGCCGCGACAATTTCCCGAGTTTCCCTCGAAGGACGGCCAACAGTCGTACGTCGATTATGTCTTGCAAAATGATGACGTCTTGCAGCCGGAGTTCTTGGCCAATATCCTTCTGCTAGACGGGCCCGGCGACCCAAGAGGAAACGTCCATAGTGAACACGATCTCGTCAGGTCTTACGGCAGCAAAATTCTCTCACTGGAGCGGTGGTCACATCATATGACCCTCCCGGTGCCAGGACCGTACCTTATTGAAGATGGTTCGTTGTGGCAAGTGTCCAGGCTATATGACGATATTCAGGGCGCCTTTATGGTTGCGGTAGAGCCACCTGAGGCAAAGAAGTATTGTTGGCCATGACTACTCCCATGGTACTCTTTGCTGACTAAAGAGCAGGGTTGGCGACACCGTGTATATCCCGTTGAGGATCTCTGGTGCGCAGTATCAGACTTTGAGCATCGCGACACCTTCGCGTGCAGCAAGGTACTCTAAAGGACCATTAGATGGGATGCGCATTGCAGTCAAGGACATGTTCGACATGAATGGATTGACAACGACACTATGCAACAGAGCTTTTTACGACATCAGTACACCCTCGACTTCTACAGCAGTATGCGTGAAGAGACTCATTGACGCTGGCGCGGACGTACTAGGAACGACCAAGATCAGCTCAATGATATCAAGAGAAGAGCCGACCGAGGCCATTGATTACCATGCTCCGTTCAACCCAAGAGCTGACGGCTACCAATCTCCGGCTGGGAGCAGCAGTGGAAGTGCTGCTGCGATTGCTGCTTACGACTGGCTTGATCTTACCATAGCAGAAGATACATCGGGAAGTGGAAGACGTCCCGCCGCAGCCAATGGATGTTTTCAATATCGTCCAACACATGACCTTGTGGACCTTGGAGGAATGTGGCCGACTTTTCTGCAATTTGATACTCCAGTCATCTTGTCTCGAGACCTGACCAAGTTTGCGTCAGTGGCTTCGCTGTGGTGCCACCTCGAATCAACGACAGGCGCTGGAGTTACACCCAGACCCGCTTGCATCCTGTATCCGCAAGACTACTTGCCGAAGGATAATGAACAGCATTTGGAACACCTTGAGTCCTTTGTTGATGACCTCAGGACTTCGATCAATGGCACGCTGGACCGAGTCTCGATACGGCAGAAATGGCTAGATTCACCCCCAGAAGGTTGCGAGGGCCAGGATCTCGAAGCATATCTCAGCAACGTTATTGTCCAGACCTTCTACCGCGAGTTCTATCACAGCCAGGCTTCATTTCGGGACCGGTATGTGAAGAAGCGCGGCAAGGAACCCTACGTGAATTCTTTCGTGAAATGGCGGTGGAATCTGGGCAGAGGAGTCACGAAAGAGCAACACCAAGAGGGTCTGCGCCGGTTGGAGGTCTACAAGTCTTGGTTTCTCAACGAAGTCATGGGAGGTCCGGAAAAGAACTCAATCTTGGTGATGCCCATCTCGGAAGGGGTACCAAACTACCGGGATCATCCCCCTAACCCACCCACCGTACAAAGCGGGTTCGATTCCCTTTTCCTGTCTCCTATATTGGGATGCCCAGATCTTGTCATTCCAATAGCACAAATCTCGTTTGAATCCCGCATCACCGAACGTCAAGAACAACTTCCCGTTTGCGTGAACCTGCTGGGAGTACCCGGAAAGGATCTTGATCTGATTAGTGCAGCAACAGCTGTACTCGACACTTCCGGCCGGCCATGTGCAGTTCGGGTTGGCTCAGAGATGTTCTAGCCTTGGTCCACTGTTCCAAGACCCCGCTTTCGTCATCTCGAACGCTCTACTCTCACATTGAAATATCACTTGGACCAGAATGTGACAAGTTCATCGAAATCTTCTTCTGTCAAGTCCCGATCCGGTTTGTTGGCACCTGCGGAGAGTTCCCTCCATGATTTGGCTGCATATTTGAAAAGTGCTGAAGCATCGTCTACCGCACCGGCGCGATGAAGGATTTTTGCCTTGAGGAAGGAGGAGCGCGCCAGTTCTGGTCTATAGGTAGCTTGGTGCGTGCCCCAGATCCCCAAAGCTTGGTCGATAACCTCTCGAGCTTGCTCGAGATGTGTTCTGGGCTACAGTCAGCTTCAAACAAGTCGAACTTGGTGGTAGTTATCACAAAGCACCCACTTCGATGAGGCTCGATTTTCACGGTTGAGGTTGCTGTGGCGGAGCAAATGCTGTGCAATTCGATGGCAAATGTCGGCGAAGCGATGATGTCGAACGCCCACGGTGTCCTGAGCTTGCTCGAAAGCATTTTGATGGCATTCCCAGCTCTGCTTAAATTCTCCGAGGCTCCATCTCACGTTTCCCAGACCATACCACAAGCGCCCACAACTGTTGAAATGTTAGCATTACATCAAGCGATAAAGGGTTTATGCAGGGAGGTAGATTAGCTGACCGGAAATTCTCCTTATCCAGAAAGCCGAAAAGCTCTTCCCGGTCTCGAATTGCATCCTCGAATATCTTGATTGCACGGGTGAAGTCACCTTTCAGCCAAGCAGCCAAACCTCGATTTGCGTGTGACACGGTGTTCATGTCCTTTCGGAAGTCCGGAAGCGAACTGTACACGTCAATCGCGCTCTCAAAGCACCTCTCGGCTCCGTCAAAGTCGCGAGACATCATTCTTGCTATTCCATTTTCGTTGTAGGCAATGGCTAGGCGTACATCTCTGATCGCAGTCTTCTCGGCAACTTGCATTCTCATATCCAGGAGAGCCCTTGTATGTTGCATGCACAATTCCGGATCGTTGGTCTCACTAGCTATGGCACCCATTGTGTAATGGATGTCCGCGAGTAGGTTTCGACTCTGCTGGCTTTCTTCGCAAGTCTGGCAAATTTTCCATGATTCGTCAAGCATGTCGCGGATAGCATAAGAGTTTCCTGTTGCGTGTTGATACCTAGTAGTCCAGTGGTAAGTCAAAACTCCGAAAAATAGGGTTGGAAAACGCCTCAATGCGTCATCAATGTTTGACTCACCATCCAGCTTCATACAACAGCTTCGCGTATTGAAACTTCGATAGATTCTTGCCTTCAAGCAACTGCTCCTTGTACTCAGCTCGAAGATAGTTGACGTGCTGGTAGATTTCTTTGCATCGTGGCCACCGCTCGACGTCGTGGATCTTGTGCATGGCAGCAGAAGGCCACGCTTCGCACAAGACAGCCACCGTGTCTGCAAAGATCACGTCCAATTTGCGTCTCGAGTTCACTCTAACGGCATCCTGAAGGACCCTGTGAATCCTCACGCCAGTATCGTCATTAACCGTCTTCAATAAGGAGCTGTTCATCAAGGCAGCACGGGCCGTGAAGAACCCCTTTAGACGCCTGGGAAAAGATGCATCCGTGATTACTTGAGCACAGCAGTCTTTCATCAAGTAGTCTTGTATGCAATCTGGGTCCAGAAAGATCATCGCCTCGAGTAAACTCCGCGAGGACGGCGTCAGCGCGTCAATAGCCCAGATGGACGCGATTGAGCCTCTGGCTCTGGCCGGTCTTTGCTCCAGCTCAAGCTCTAGGACGTTCAACGACTTCAGTGACCCCGTTGGAGAGTCCATCGGATTCCTCGTGTCGTCTTCATAAACTTCTAGGAAATCTTTGAGAAGCATATACTGGCGGCGAATGACGCCAGCCATCTGAGCAATAGCCAGTGGAAGTCCGCCAAGTCGTTGTGACACCATCAACGAGAGATGGTCGTCGTCGTTTGCGCCGGTCAATCTCTGGAGAAGCTGGGCGCCTGTGTGATTGTCCAGTGGTTCCAGGTCCAGGACTGTAGTATCACGAGAAAATGATGTTTTCGCCAGTGGATGTCGGCTGGTGATTAACCACGATCCAGATCCGAATATGTGTGTGTATTCACTGATAACGTCCGGGTTGTCTGCATTGTCCAATACAATCAACCAAGAGGCCTCCGTCTGGCCGACAGTATCGTGTGTTTGATCTAAGAGCTTCGTGGGTTTTGACAGCCAGCCTTTTGCTGTCTCCCTATTGACCACAAGATCCCGGGGTTCTTTATCATCTTCAAGCCCCAGATTGACGGCGATATCGGCAAAATCACGCTCTAGCTTGTTCACAGTGTCAGCATGGATCCAGAAAACAGCATCAAATCGTTCTTGACGGGAATGTGCAAACTCTAAAGCGAGTTCTGTCTTTCCAAGACCAGCCATACCACAGAGAGTAACATGTCTTGATGCTTGAGATTCGGAAGACACCAGACGGTCTTGAGAAGGAAGCAATAGGCTGTCAAGCAATTCCAATTCGCGAACCCTGCCTGTGAACTCTTTATTCCGCGGGTAGCCACCCAGGGATCTGCATGGCAATACCGCCTGCCTTCTTGACGGAGCGAAAGCCTCAACCATGGGAATCACCTCCAGATCAATTGTCGTGGATCCATATTGGCCCTCTCCAGTGTTTCCAGCCTCTGCGCTTCCTTCGTTCCGGCTGAGGACGTACTCGGCAGCCTCCTTCGAGCCGCCACTGTCGGATCTGTGGTCAGATGGAGTTCGTGATCGATATGATCGCATCCGATCCTCTACATTGCTGATAGAGTATCTCAAAACAGTTCGCATCCAGTCGACGATATGCATGTCGGGCTCACCGTTTTCATCCTTCAGACTGCATAGATCGAGATGTGACAGAGGTAAACCGAAGCATTGCTCCCGCAGTGCGCCGATCTTCGCCAGTTCCAAGTCAACAAGAATCAGTTTCTTGCTTGTAAAAGTTCGGGGGATGATGGTCTTCCTCTCTTCATACACAGACAAGATGCGTAAATTGGTATTGACATCTTGAAAACGAGCCCCCAAGTTAGTCAACAGAGATGTGTCATTTTTCTTCTGGAGTAGCGCCTGCTTGTTCGACATCCCCGGGTTGGCCGCTCTCAAAATCCATAAACATTGCTCCCAGAGAGTGTCGTCTCCTGGTGAACTATGCGGCGTGCCAAGGAACACCATGCCAACTAGGGCATTGAGCAGGAGATCATATCTCGGATGTTGGAAGTTTGCAATAGATATAGCCTGTTTGAGGATGAATCCTCCAAGACTGTGGCACATAAGAAGCAATGGTCGCTTTTGTGCATCGGTGGCACTCCGAAGCTGAGAGAGTTCGCGGAGAAGATTTGCGCCTTGGTCGAGAAAGAATTGCCAGGAGAAGTGGTCATCAAGTGGAATTTGGTAGTGGAACTCGAGAATTCTGAGCCGGCTGTGTTCTTCTCGCTCTAACATCGAGAGCCATGATTGCTGACAGACTCCCCATTCCCGGACAGCCGCGGTGCCAACTCCAGGTATCAGGACCAAATCCACATTGGGGTTTGAATTGGAAAAAGCCTCTGATATTGCCAATCTGCTGCCGACTTGGGTATCAAAAGTCGCCATGAACTCGGGAGTGTCAAATGTGACGGAAGTCGCGGAAAGTATCTGTGCTACAAGAGCTCACCCACATTCTATAACAATGGCGGCACGACTCGGCTCGTTTTCTTCTGCAGCTTGATGGTGAGAGGTCGGGTGACTCGCTAGGATTTTTAATTGTAGAGGCGTTGTGGTGACACGTAACAACGAGGTCAGGCAGGCAGGCAGGGATAAAATTACATCTGGAAGGCATAGTGCAGTGAACGGCCGTGAACGCCAAAGTAACACAAGAGTGCCAGTCATTTCGAGTAGGACAATCACTCGTGCCAACTTCGGGACCCAACGTGAATTTTGAAACAAACCGTGCAGCCCTTCCTGCGCCCAATCTCAAGACTCTCGAAATTTGATCTATTGTAGCACTGCAAAATGAATATATATTCTTAATCGCAACATGCAGGCACTGATTGGCCACAAGTTCTTGTACCGGCTCAGAAGCCCAGCACTCAGTTCTTGGTCTACCCAAACACTCTGAAGGTTGGAGCTTGTTTGCCACGCATCAACGGTACAGGCGTCCTCCCGTCAGGGATGGACCCTGGCCTGCAAGCAGCCACTATGTAAAACTTGAAAAGACGCAGAAGTTTTGTAACTTTTATGGATTGTGTATCGCTGAAAAAATCACTCTTCATCCCTACTGGTTGTTACCGAGTGCGTCTGGTGATCACAATACACCGGTTTGGTGATTGAGCTTTTGGTTGGTAGAAATGAGCATGGAAGCGTCTTTCCTGTACCATGAACCCACGGAACCCCGTCGTTAACAACTAGTTACAAGAGAACACGTTGACACAGGGCGCATGACGCCCTGGTTGTTGCGACCAGAAGAGGGGTGTGCTTGGGCCTCAAAAGGCAAAGGACATAAAAACAGTGTCCATGTTTTCATCCACCCACCATACCTTCGTCATACTACCAACAGTGATATCAACCACCTCCAGTCAGGTTTGTTATACTAGGCAGAGAGCCTAAGCACAGTTGCTTGATCGATCTTGAAGGAAACAAACTGTACGTATGGTCAACCGTCTTGCCCTCGAGAATAAACCTTGACTAAAAGAAACAATAGCGCTGCAATGCCTTCCCTAAAAGTCGAGAAGACTCAACCTTGGAAGGCTCACTGGCCCAAGAAGACGAGCCAACCCGTTGCCGGAGGGACTCACACCGATCATGGATTCGCAAAAGGGGAGATTGTGGTCATGGATGGGAACACCACTCGCGGCCCACATGTGGTGAAAGAGAGGAAAGCAGCCGACAGAGCTATGGAAACATAGTTTTGTCGTAGTGGACTGTGAGCAAAGGGGATATTGTCACAAGCTCGGAAACGATTTTCATACCAGCGACAGCAAACTGAAAGCCCTCCAGGGGTTTGGCATGTGTTGTAAGCAAACTAGATCAGGCAAAAATCGTTGAATCAATCATAACATCGTGTAGCATAGGTGCAGAGTGTTCAAAGTACAAGAGCAAACTTCCTTCTCGACGTGCTCGAGCTTCTATCCTAGACAGTAAACAGATAAAAGTCATACCATATGACCATGGATCCCTTCAAAGAGCTTTCCCACCTCCTGAGGATACTCTTTTAGATCTGCGTAGAGCACAAATGCGCGGCAGTCAATACTTTCTCGAGCCGGATCCCCAGCTTGGGTGTTAGGGCTGTTGAATCCTGCATGGGGGCATGCTGTCACAGATCAGTTTGTTTTCGCAATGGATCAGCCATGCGAAGACATACCACTCGGTTGTGACGCGTCAGAATCAGCACTCTTGAATATGGTAGCCTCGTTTGGCATCTGGTCGGACAAGTAGTACCATCGATAGCTTGGACTATACATGACTTGCATGTTCTCCGTAACCCATGTTGGAAAGACAACATCCGAAGGGACGGTGTCGGTTTCGAAATCAACAGTTCTAGAATCAACAATTCCCAAAGGCCAGTCTCGTACTGGGCCACGCAGAGGCTTCCACACACTAAGCAGGCGTTGTTAGCTACGGCTGAGTTATCCAGGCGCGTCAACACACTTAATGACCTGCCAACGGGAAGTCAGAATTTCAGATGCTTGCTTGCCGTAGAGAGTTGTCAACATGCGAACAGCTTCATCGTGGGTGAAGTCTAAGTCCTGTTAGTCACTTCTGAGGCTCTGGAGATCAAGAATTCGCACCAATGTGACACATAGCTGTTGGTTGATCCCAATCATAATTTTTTCCTTGAGAGACCGGAAAGTGCGCTTCGCGACGGCGAACCTACTTCCATGGTGAGACTCGGTCTGACATCTGTCGCGACCAGCATATATATACCGCGTTATCCATAACAAAGACATGCTTGGCACCCAACTTCTTCTTCAAGGCCGAGATGAGGTCTTCATGATAGACAGATTTAATCTTGGTATAGTCATTGAAGTCTTCATAGGTCATTCTCGATTCCAATGGCATGACGCTAAAGCCTTGCACGCCCACCGACGGCGGCTCCTCAAGCTTGCGGATGTCATTCAGGGTAATTTTGTGCTTCTCGCGACATATGTTGGATTGAGCAACTCCGTCAGCGTAATATCGCATTCCGTAAGGCTTTTCCGCCTCATACAGCGTTTCGCGCTTCAGGAAATACATATCAGCTTCCAAATGACTCTCGCCCATGGTGCTCAGCCCGTTGGTAGACTTTTCAGTGCTCTCACAAGTCACTACCAGCAACTTTTCAGGTGTCGTGGTTGCCATGCCGCTGGAACAAGCGGCGTGTTGATGGGACACCCAGGGGGAAGTCCATGGGGAGAATGGGGATTGCTGAAGTCATTTCAGAGTTCCGGCACTCCTGCCTCAGCAGACACTAACTAGCTGCTTCATGGCTAGAGGCTAACCGGTGGAGCACCTGATAGATTGATCACCAATTGTATGACGCACCACGAGCCTATCCTAGACCAGTCACACACGCAGAACTGACGTGTCTGACGTTGATACGCAGGTGTACGGCGGACGCCTGTCAGTCCAGGTTGGTAACGTTCAAATAAAATACACACGCGCGAATAGGGCGCCAGTAGGGTAACAGTAGCACTACCTAGGCTGAGACTTGTGGCTTCCAGAGTCGGCCTAACTTAACTGGCAGCATCATCGGATAGGAGGTTGCGGGAAGGAACGACACCCAACTTGAAGTTGACTGAGAATGTCGGCGGACCTGCATTGTTACACAGGCAAGGTGCCCAACCTCCTCTCGTCAGTTGGTGCTGGCTGACTTGGAGATGGCAACAAACTCTCACCTGTCACCCTCAAAGTGGTCATTGTGAATATGACACCCTCTCCAAGTGAAGGGCAAGCTCTTGTCTCTAATTCAGGTCCAAGCTATGGAAGTGTCAACTTCAGCATCAAAGATCAAGGTGTCCATGATGAGCAGCACTCAGAAGGTGGTGTAAGAGAGGGCAGTTCTCTCCAGAACTGGAATGATAACGAAAATGCCGAAAATCCTCGCAACTGGTCGCGTTTGTGGAAATATAGCATCATTGCGCTGGTGAGCTTTATTGAGCTTTTCACGTTGGTTGATACACAGTCTTCTGCAAGGCACTTCAGACTAACATTTGTGCAGGCACTTGACGTCCATGTTGTATGCTCCGGGTATACCTGCTATGCAGAGAGATTTCAACAGCCACAACGACACACTTGCAACCTTCACTATGACAATTTACGTGCTTGGCTTCGCCGTTGGTCCCCTAGTGTTCGCTCCACTTTCGGAGGTCTATGGTCGTGTTGTGATCTACCGATCCTGCCTGGCCTTGTTCATATGCTTTACCGTGGTCTGTGCGCTATCTTCAAGCATCGGCATGCTAGTGGCCTTCCGCTTCATTGCAGGATGTTTCGGTGCCGCCCCTGTCGCCATAGGCGGTGCGATGGTGTACGATCTGTTCGAAGTCAAGGAGAGGGGCCTAGCCATGGCCATCTACCACTCAGGTCCTATATTCGGAAATCTTCTTGGACCACCCTTGGGTGGATTCATCATTCAGCACCAAAGTTGGCGATGGGTTTTTTGGATTATCACAATATTTGTAAAGTGTTTCGCGTCCTTTGCGGACCCATTTCGTCGCTAATGTTCTACAGGCTGGCTTTGCTTTGCTATCCTCCTTCTTCATTCTAAGAGAGACTCATGCACCGACCATTTTATGCCGACGAAAAGCCGATGGCGGACCTCGTGACTTTACTCCAAATCATACAAATCCAGACCTTGTTGATGATATATCTCAGGAGGTCCAGAGATCAGAGATGAGGCAGGCTGTTCGCTCACCGACCACCCCACGCTTTAGGAGTTCGGATGCCCATGTCCCAGATGCCGTGAAACCAGGCCCTGCTACTCTTCCGATGATCAAGACACCTTTGAAATCGGATATCAAAAACCCAAGTCTTACCAAGCCAGAATCTGCTGACAAGGCTACTCGGGCTGTTAAGAGACCATTGACACCAGATATCGACACTCCAAATCCCAGAGCGCCAGACCCAGGTTTCGAGGTTTTTCGGGCGATCAAGAGACCGTTGAAGCTTCTGCTTTTCTCTCCGGTCATCCTTGCTTGTTCACTTATCATATCTATTGTGGCAGGAACAATGAACTTGATCTTCGCTTCCCTGGGGCGTATATTTCAGGACGAGTACGGGTTTTCTACGAGCGCCTCCGGTCTCATGTATCTAGGAGTCACGACTGGATTTTTGTTTGCGGCGTTCGTTTTCGGCAGGACGAGTGATCGTATCTCTCAGTTCTTGATGAAGCGGAATGACGGAAAACGGCAAGCTGAATATCGACTGCCTGCTATGATGGTTGGATTGCCGCTGGTGGTCATCGGTTTATTCTGGTATGGCTGGAGCGCACGGTACCATGCATTCTGGCTTGCTCCCATGCTGGGTCTATACTTCTTTGGTATGGGCGTCACGACCATTCAGGTGAGCGGTCTCAGAGCCAGTGCAAACATTCTTCCAGTGTCCTAACGTAGTATAGCTCTCGTTGCAGACATATCTGGTCGACTCTTTCACCGAGTTCTCAGCCTCCGCTCTGGCGGCAACAACCATGACAAGGTGTATTGGAGGATCTCTCCTTCCGCTCCTTGGCCCAGTCCTTTACCAGATACTAGGTCTCGGTTGGGGAAACAGTGTGCTAGCATTCTGCAACCTCGCACTTTGTGTAGTGCCATGCATTCTGTTCACTTGGGGGGGAATATGGCGAGAGAAGTATATGCCTAGAGATATGTAGAGCAGTACTGCAAGCACAGGCCCTTTGAAGGTTCGGTTCATACATGTTGAACAGTGTGACCACAGAAAATTATGCCCTAGTAGGATAGACTTGCTAGGTGATTAACTCGTGGTCAAAATCGTGATAAAAATCCGTGAATTCATCCATATACTCCCCTTTTTTTTGGTTTACACTGAAAGAATAGCTGGATCTATCTATCTTACTTAGGAAATGCTGGTACTGGTTCCGTGTTGGTCTTCACCTGGATTATTCATCACGATCACGTCAATTGCACCATTTGAGTCCCTCGACTCGCCCACCAACAGCAAGACCGAACGTCCCCGAAAACTCATGGAGCTGCGCCGTCTCTGGCTCACGGTGAAAAAGAAATGTCTCCCCAAGAGGCAGGCGTGCCGAGTTCCCAGGTCACGGTATCTCAAGTATCACAGGGCAGCGAGGGGTTGACTTGATTTGGGCTACAAGAGCTCACGCGGGATAAAGCGGGCTTACGCCGACTCTCAGTGCCCTGCAACACGAACTCGAGTTCAATTCTTGCACTCCCCTCCCGCAAATCAAAGATCTTGAATAGCAAGACAGATTCCGCTGAAATACATTCGACGATCGAGCTTGAAGGGATTTTGGTACACTAATACAGAGTGGAGAAATCGAGTTGTCGAGTTATGGCTCGTACGTGCTATTGACAACCCTTCACGTTAGCCTAACGCGAGCACATCTCATGCCACCCAATTCCGCATGAGCGACCCATGACTCGATGGCTGTCATCGTGGCTGTTCAGACGTCCTGCATCCCCTCAAGATAGCCCGGAGTATTTGAAGTCATTCCGAAGCAACAGCTGACAAGTCTTCACCTCTTGCACAGACACTACACTCCCGGCGGACCTTCCCGTCCCCAAGGACGACGGTGCATATGACCATCTCAGCGACCTTGCTATCCCTACCAGCCTCAGCCTTCCCATTGCACGCGATCCAACGCAAAGGGTTAATCTCGCCGGCTTGAAAGGCTTGACCGTTGTATTTTGCTATCCCAGGACAGGTATTGTCCATCTTTTCCTCCAATCTCGTTTCCCCTTGGTTGCCCAAACTCCATTCCTTCCAGTATTGAAACAGGGTTTTGACCAGGCGCACCCAACGAGACCGTTCCCGACTCGTGGAATTCCATCCCAGGCGCGAGAGGATGCACGCCGCAAGCCTGCTCTTTCCGGGACAGTCTGCCTGAACTGCGTGCGCTAGGGGTTTCCCACATTTATGGCATCTCCACCCAATCGCCCGCCTACCAAGCGGAGGTGCATGAGCGGCTGCATCTTCCTTATGATCTTTTGAGTGACGAGGAATTGGAATTCCAGAGAGGCTTGGATCTGCCGACATTCGACTGGGAAGGGCAGAAGGTCCTCAGACGCTCGATGATTGCGTTGCAGGATGGCAAGGTGGTTAAATGGTGGTATCCTGTGTTTCCACCCGATCGGGGCGTGGATGATCTGATTGAGTGGTTGAAAGGACGATAGGCGCTGTTGTGGTCTACGCCTGCTCCAGAGGTGCGGACTCGACGATCATGCACGACGTTGTGAGTCTGTCTATTGCCTCTCTTCATGTTGACTTCTCAGTTATGCCCCTGCCATGGCCATGGGTATGGTAGTCAACACTCCGTTCTTGTCGTATTTTGCTTTGAAGAACGTATAGCTGAGTGTGATGGTGTCGATGCCTCTCATCTGAGGATCCTTGGCAAATTCCGGGTCGATAAAGAAGAACACTGGCATGTCAACCGTCTCGCCGGCGTTCAACCTCTGCTCTTCAAAGCAAAAACACTGGATCTTGCTAAAGTACGGCGCCACCTGTGCCGGTGTGACGGAATATGTAGCCACGCCGATGATATCTGCGTCTCCTTTATTCGTGGCCGTGTAGAAAGCGAGGGCCGTCTCGCCAGGAAGAACCCGAACTTCCCGTTGCTGCGGCGTGAACTTCCAAGGGAGGATGTCGGACACGGAGCCGTTAAAGGTGACACGCAAACGACGGTGGTCTTCGACGGGTTTCAAGCGAAGGGCTGGGTCTCCGGTGGAATCGTGGGCCTTGACAGGTTGGCCAGACCACCCGGTTTGTTGGCAAATCTGGGATGGATTTAGCATCGTGAGCTTCTCATGTGGTGCTCTCATGGGTGGTGCTGACCATTTTATAAAGAGGAACCGAAGCATAGGAAAGTGCAAGAAGCAGGATTCCCGCACTCAGTCCATAGTATCTAAGCCCCGTCAGCGGCTGGCAGACCGTTATCCTTATTACAGTGTACACACAGAGTGGTTCGATTCTTCTCCCGGGCTTGAGCTCTGGCGGCCTCGAAAGGATTGGCATAATGAGAGCGTTTAGTTGATTGTGAAAGTAGACGAATTTGTTTCGCAGGTTGGAGAGGCCGGCGGGGTATATTATAAGGTTGGAGACGACGGAGTGATCTACAACAACCAGATGCTACTTGCCCGGACATACAAAGAGAAATCATGGTGAAAGTGGGAGAGTGCAGTGTATACAATTGGTGGACTGATTTATTCGTGAAGCTACAAACTTTCCGCAGTCGTAGTATCGTGGTTGCGTGTCGCGGGTATGTGGGATACCGTACTGCAGCTACGGCTAATCATAGATCGTTGAGTGTCGGCCTTGTGAGTATTTCTCACTTCAACAAAACATGTTCCGCGTTCCTTTTGCTTATGCTTATGGTCATATACTGCTAACAACATATCAATCTCAACGTCTCATTCTGCTGGGAGACAATCTGTGCCTCTAATCACAGCGACATATACGGCACTTCCCTCCAGACTTGACGACTCCTTTCTACTGTTTGTGCATTTGACCCCCTCGAGCCCCTTTGATGAGGAGGATCCTCAGGTGCTGGCCGGTATTAAGTTGTTCCGGCGCCGCAGACACCAAACAACATCCTCCTTGTCCATCCAGAATGCGCCGGTGACACTGACACCAATCACGTCGATCCCTTTATAGCACGTTGGGAAATCCACTGGCATTGTCGCTTGTCCTTGATATGCCAATGTACACACATCGACGCGCCATCTTTCATCGCCATCACTACTACCCGCGCCAGTGCCCGTACCATCGCCGCGGTCCCTGACCGGTGGTTCCTTGAAATCCGCTGGCAATGACCAGGTTTCTCACCATTGGCAGATCCCGTCCAAGCTTTGTGCTATGTGCTATGGTGAGGCCTGGACTCGTAAAGACTCAACTGGAATTCACTCTGGCGCAACAACCGTCATCGCTGATTCTTACACCCTCTCTCCTCGAGAAATGTTAATACCTGCGCTTCAAAGCATGCCTCCATGCAAACCCTTGGACCAAGCCGCGCTGTTGTCTTTCGCTCTCCCTTAAGTGTCTGTTCACGTCGATCGTATTTCCCTAGATACTCCTCAGTCACCTTTTGCGCACGCGCTTTGCCGTGTTTCTTGACTTCCCAAGTATGAGAGTGGCTTGGCTGTCTTCTCGCCAATTCCTGCGCCGTTTCGTCGCATCTGTTGTTCTGTCCGCCTTCGCTATTTGGTACCTGCTTCTACCAGACCCAAAACATAGAGTGCAGACACAGCCCGAAGTCTTGGAGCGGCAATACCCCTTGCTTTGGCGACACGTGCATTCGTTCAATGGTACTGGAGGAGGTGCGTATTGCAGTGCTAGTGCTCGACGGACAACCGAAGATTGCTTTGCCGCAATCCTTTTTTCTTGCTTCGGCTTTCCACTGACAAGCTTCAGCATGGTATATTCCACCCTCCTGGTTGTCATCTGCCAGTGTTCAGCCGGAGACGATAGTTGATGCGGCTCTTCTGGCCGCGCAAGCTGCCAACACCAACAAGCACCGGTTCATCAACCAGTCTTCCATTCCCTTACTTCTGCACCAAACATGGAAGAATCGGCGTGTTGACACTTGGTCGGATCTGCTTCGCGCCAGTGTGGAGAAATGGTTATCTTGTGTAGTGGCTGACGACATGGCTTACTTCTTCTGGGAGGATGAAGGCATTGTGCGAATGTTGGCGGAATTTGAGCCTGACTTTGTCCATCGCTTTGTGTCCTTGCCCTCGAACGTGGAGCGGGCTGATGTCTTCCGCGTTCTGGTTTTGAAATGGTTTGGCGGAATTGTAAGTTTCTCGTCCCCGAATCAAATCATGCCTGCATTGGCGAAAGATTGACGATTTTGCAGTACGCAGACGTGGACACGCGACCCCTTCGTCGGCCTGTCTCTTGGGTTTCTGCTTCCGACCTTGCTCCCTGGACCGACGCCGTAACGGGACTGAAGTATTCCTACGACAACACAGTAAGCACCATTCTCGGCATTGAGGCTGACTGTGTGCCTTACAAGAGTGACTATTGGCGCATGGGGTATTCGTACCCGGTCCAACTCACACAGTGGGCGTTGGCTTCCAGTCCTGGCCACCCTATTCTTTTACGTTTCATGGACACTCTTCAACGGAGGCTAGCGGATGTTGCAAGGCGCGACAGGGGAGATATCACCGCTCCCCAAGCCGTAAGGGAGCTACAACGGATTGGACCGCTGTCTTTGACAGGACCAGTTTCCGTGACCGTCGCAGCAAAGACTTGGTTAGAGGAACGGATTGGACTGCGGTGGAACGCTCTCACTGGATTAGCAGACGGCGGCCAAAGCAAGCTGGTCGACGACGTTTTGATCTTGCCAATTACCGGGTTTAGGTATGCGGCCTTTCCTCTCCATGATAGCTGACATTCAGATGCTCACAACGGACAGCCCCGGTCGAGGCAAATACGGCAATATGGGCTCGAAGCCAGTCACGGACTCGTCGGCGCGAGTATGGCACCAGGCGCAGGGATCATGGCGCTCTTTCGACCCCAAGGTCGAATTTGGGAAAGCATGTCGGACCTTGCTCGGGTTGTGCAAGGACTGGTCGAAGCAGCCAGACTGACTACACGGTACTGCAGGAGTCGATGTGCTGGTGGAGTTGGAGAGTTAGAGGCGCATCTTTCCCTCGAGCCGATCTGTCGAGCCGGGGTTTGAGGGGTCGATGGTTTATGAAATGTACGAGTACAACCAACAGTACAGGACACGACAGGATAGGATAGGGTTCAAAGATTAGCGTACACAGTTATTCACTCACAGAGTGTCTCATTTTCTGGCTCACACTTTGATATGTGGGATACGAGACTACTGAGAAGGTAGTGTTGAATACCTAGGTACTTAGTAATGAGGAGCAGCCGGTCGAGTCGAGTCTAAATCGGTGCTCGGCGCCAGCACCAGCTGAATTTCCTCTACGCAGGGATGTCATCACATCCATCCATCGATACGACTTCGGACATGTGGGACCTTCTCTACCAAAACCAAAGCGAGGGCTTGATAAGATACGTTACCCTACATTATATACAGATACACCTAGGTATCCGTGATTCGCGGTCCCAGACACTTTGAGCATTCCGCTCAGCACATGTATAGTTCGGAGATATTAGGTATCTACATAGATACATATCTACACCTAAAGGGCTTCACTCCATGTCCTTCATGCTTCACCGCGTCCTCGTCGCCGTCAAGGTGACTCGATTCCGCCAACCACCCCTGGTCAGCGCATAAAAGACCTCTCGCATCGATTCGTGGGTCCAGAAGATACCAAGCCCGTCAAAAATACACTTCATCCCGGCGAGCAGTGTGCTTTGCTGGACCGGGTCGGCGAGCACGCCGTAGCACAGCGGGCCCGCAAAGGTCATGTAGAAGCAGCCAAAGGGCTTGGTGGTGGCGGCGAAGTCGAGTGTCTCTAGAACAAAGGTCGCCGACTGGGCGGTCTGGAGGGACAGGGCCGGGTTGGGCCGCGGGGCGAGGAAGTTCTGCAGCACCGTGTTGATCAGGATGACACAGCCGTGGTAGAAGGTCGCTTGTTTGATGGACCGCGCGGGCTGTACTGATTCAGCAGTGTTCTCGGGGCGGAAGACCGCCGCGGGGACTGGACCGCGGTAGGCGCGTGGGCAGGTGGCGTGGACGCCCGGTGTCGAGAGGGTGCGGGCAACGGTCTCGGAGTGGATGACGATGGCGGCGCGGATGCCGTATATCTGAGAGAGCAGTTCCGCATAGATTGGTGATGAGGTCGAGGGCGAAGACGCGGGGTCAATTTCTCTGGCACGAACCAAGAGCCCAGGCAGGCTTGCCAGGACCGTCCAGAGCTCGGCAATGAGAGGGCTAGTAGAGTCTGTGCCACCGGTCCTACGCATTGCGTTGACCCATTCTGGCCCACTGAGGAAGCAGTCCTCGCCGCGCAACATGCACTGCGTGATAATGCTCGGATACTGGGTCATGAAGATCGCGGCTTCAAACTCGGACGCCTGCGCGCGGCCGGGACCACAACCTCGCAGGATTGCAGAGACACCGCCTGAAAGAGTGACGAAAGAATAGGCGGGGCCCGGCTTCAGAATCTCATACTGAGCCAGGAGGAGCGACGCGCACAGTGTTTCAGACGGCGTGGAGAGGAGGCGGTTGTCGTCGTACTGGGTGAGCTCCTGTCGAAGCACGGAGATGGCAGTGGTATAGCGGGCTAGCTCGAGGGCTTGGTTTCGAGGCTGACCAGCAGAGACAGCAGTAAATGAGTACAAGAAACAACTGACTGCAGCGTCAAGTGCCCGGCTTCGACCCAGTCGAGGGGGAAGCTTCCCGAAATAGAATCCCATCTGCTGCAGGCTTGCACCGAATCCAGAGGGTGTCTCGAGTGCGGAGATTAGACTTGCGCCCAAGCGCTCCGACTGATTGAGTGGGACGACTGTGGCCAGAAGATGCGTTATTTCCAGAGGCTGGGCAACCAGATTCCGGCTCGGGCCGTGGGATACAACGCTGCCATCATTCCCGTCCATGGAAATGGTATCCAATGCCTGAAGAAGCTGCACGCGCTGTTCTGCCGAGCCGTACTGGTATCGAAACGGGGAATCTGGGCCTGTGCAATGACGTTTGCTTTTCTGACACTGGGAGCATACCGGCGTGCGCTCATCACACTAGTTGAGTCTCGGTTAGTTTTGCGATAGAGAGGGGGACTCGTATTGCGGGAAGACATCAAAGCAAGAGATATGATGTTCAAGGTGGCATACTTTGATGCGTCGCTGCTTACATGTTCGACAGCCCTTGCCCCTGATACCAGGCATGTCGATCGTGACTGTTGTCCTTTGAATTCAAACGAGGTGAATTTCCCACAGGTTGTCGGTTCCTAGCATGGGAAGATGGAGAGCACAGGAAGGACGCCTTGTAGTCGAGTATCCTCCTTCTTAAAGAGACAGAGGGTGGTGACCTAGCTTCAAGCCAGAAGTCGCCCCACTGCTTGTACTTCTGAAGGTGAACATGAAGGGTAAGGCGATTCGTCCAGGCCAGTAGAAGCTAGCAAGTGGGCATGATCTGTTGCGTACCCGGAGAGGTAGCTGTCGGGGGTTAATCGTGGACCGAGCCATGGGACACAGCTGAACTGGGATCTACGCTTGGTTGCCAATCCACAGGTTGGGAATAGAGAACAGCTGTCCGCGGGTGGCATGTTGATCATGCATGGCCGTTGAAAATATAGAACCCCTAGTCGCGATATAAGAGGTAGTACTTGGGTAGATACCTACGCATGGATCTAAGATGGCAGGATGGACAGCAAAGCAGAGCATGAATCAAATTACTGGACAGGGACGTTCAAATCTCGTACCCGTCACGTCATATACATCGGGAATCTAGCCATGTGTGTACTAGTGTGTATCTATGGTGGAGTATAGATGCATCAGGCGTCCGGCCAGACCTTTTGCCGGTAACAAGGACTCAGATATACCTTCAACAGGGTACTGGCTACATTTATCATATAAAACGTGTGCTACTGAATTCAGCTCGTTTCAGGTGATCACCGGATCTAGGAGCCCGCCACCGAATAGAGAGCTTTAAGTGAACATTGTACTAATCGAAGCCAACCATATGGGGTGATTCATACCGCTCGAGACCTCAGAGACCACCCGCGGAGGTTCAGGAGACGTCTCACTGTGATGGTTATTGCAGCATCCAAATATTATCTCCAAGTAAGAAAGCCTCAATATAACAGTCGATATCATGAATCAGGTCACGTGTAGTCTGTGACATAAGCCACTTTAACTCCAGCGTTGGGTGAGCGTCACTATCGTCACTATCCACACCCAGTTCCTCGATCGGCTCCCAGATTGCATCGCCGTGACGTCAAAAGTTGCCCATTCCTGCTCAACAAGAATGGAGTCAAGTGCCAAAGGTTGCGAGATGCAGCTCAACAACCCTTTTCACTCACATGCAAATGGACGGACTCCTGACATGTGGCCCGCTATTCCTGCCTCATGTTTAAATGGACTTATTTCACACCGTCACTCAAACCATTGATCAAGTCTTGACTTGCGACTGGTACGACACGTTCAGGTCATTCAAAATGGAAGGCAACAAGGCCCAAGATAAAACTATGGATACAGTTCCTGGAGGCGAAACCCCTCAGTATGTGCTTGATTGGTGTCCTTTGTCTTGCCAGTCCACTGATAGACCTGTGTAGATACGAGTCCATAAAGACTGCGACCGTGCCCACCTCAAAACAAAGAGGCCAATTGGGCAGTAGGCCACTGAACCCTTCTCACCTTGCCCTCTTTTTTTCTGACATTTTTCCAGGTGGCTCCAATACAACGGAGACTCCCTCCACGTCTGAGGAGCGGGGAAAGCAGACAACAGAAAATATAAGATATGGCCAGAATATCTCCGAGTCCGGCATGGGTGGTAAGACAGTGGCGCAGGATGGCCAGGCCGGTCAACAAGGTGGATATGGAGGAACACCAGACCAGGCCGAAGGACAGAAGGATACCAGACCGCAGCAGGGTTACGGAGCAGGAAGCGGGGTCGGCGCATAGAGTTGGAAGGTCGTCGAGTACAATCGGGGACATGCGGTTGTGGTCAGAAGCCTCACGGGGAAATGGGGGCTGTCGTCGGCGGCGGATCTAGCTGAGTCGCGATCGTCTGAGGCGGCACTTTCATCCCTGATACAATGGGTTTTGGGCTCTCCTTGTCCTTGGGTTCCATTTCTCTCCGGGCTTCCTTGAGCTTTTCCAATGTCACTCCGTTGCCCAGTTTCGTGATGCCAACCATCGGAGGATCCCCCTTCTTAACGAACTCCCACAGTCCAGGTAGCTTGTTTCCCGCCAGCCTGAAAGCATCTCTTACCACCTGCTCGTGGAGATTGCTCTTGATCTCGAACACCACCCTGCTGACCGGGATACGCGCAGCCCAGTAGTCGAATTTGCCTTTTCCTTTGCCCATGCGCACGTCGCTGCCTTTCGTGTACACACCGATATTTGCGCTTACTCGCTTGTATAGTCTGAAACGCTCCCCCCGCAGCCGTCTGTTGATAGTATCTTCAGCGTTCTTGAGTTGTTTCGCCGAGACTCGGCGGTCGTGATCTTTCATGCGCAAGCCATAGTCGCCCCAAACAACGGTGGTGCCACGCATTGAACCGCCGGTCGGCATTCGCGGTCGTCCCACGTGAGATTTTCTCACTTCCGGTCTCTTGGGCGTCAGCCAATCTTGACGGGCTGTCGTGGTAGAGAATGAGCGAGTGCATATCGAGGGAGCTTGTATCGCGCGTTGGGCAGGGAGAGAGGAGTGTATCCGATTCAATCTGGTCGAAGACGTTCTGGGATGGTTTGAGAACATTGTTTTGATCCGTAGATAGCGCAAACAAGCAACTAGAAAGCCGTCAGTCAGTTCGAGCAATCCTCAAACCATGCGGATGGGAGCTCTCGTACAAGACGGGCCAGCGGGCTGCGCAGCCATGTTTCCGGTGTTTGTGTGGTCGTGAATTCAAAGTATGCTTTGTATAGTGCTGGGCGGGTCGCAGAAGTAGCGTATCTTGGAGCAAGATGCTATTGAATACGATGACAAGATCAGTGGTCTATGCTTGTTCACAAATCACAGAGCATCGTGTCCCAGAGGTAGCACGCATTGAGAACGAAAAAGCTCTAGGGTGCAATTGGCTTGTCTGCCAAGATCTAGCCGCTTTAAGCCAATGAAAGGACAAAGTCAGTTTTAATACCGAGTTGAGTTAGCGCCAGCAGTACTTTAGCCGTTATGAACAAACATGCCGCCCTATATTTTGACTGCTACCTAGGTATACAATAATATGTCGCTACGTCTGGCCTTTGGTGGTCGTCAAAAATCTTCAAGCACAAGTAGACGACTTCAGCGGATTTTGAGCTGTCTGTCCCAGCCTCGAGAAATCATGAACATACGTATACTGCATGGTATTGGCGGAAGGGATTGACCATTGTAGTCATGGTTAAAGGAGTGCATTCGTTGGTCAACTTATATTTTGATACCACATTCTTACCATCGAAGCAAGCGCTTACAGAACTGGAGGTTTCCGACCCTGGACGAGTTGTTCCACTCCGTATGCCAGTTCCAGCAGTTTCTGCTCGCGATACGGTAGACCGACCAATTCCAGGCCCACGGGTAAACCACTGTCACCCTCGGTCAAGCCCGCAGGGACAGTGATGGAGGGGAAAAGCGACTGTGACGAGACCAGCGTGTTGGTAGGGAAAGCCGCCGCAGGCCATCGTTGAGAAAGCACGTCTTCAAGCAGCGGAGCCGGGACCTGGACGTCCGGGAAAGCCAGTGCATCGAGATTGTCCCTGGCTAGGGCGACCGTGATGGTGCGCTGGAGCTCCTCTCGGGCAAGCAGGCGAGTGGTGAACTCAGGATCATTCTGGGGCGTCCCGATACCGGTGGCAATACCCTCGAACAAGTCGAGAGCTGGGTGATATTTCTTCGACTCGTAAATCTCTTTGGTGTTGGTCTTGAGGAATGGGTGTCGACCGAAGAACTGGTCAAGATCGGAACGAGAGCGTTCGTGATACGTAAACGTTATCTCGAGGAGTTTCGTCAGGTTGGGTATCTCGACGTCAACGAGGACCGTGCCGTTGTCTTGGAGCGTCTGCAGTGCCGCGTTGATGGTCTTGTTCACGGATTGGCTCTCTGGGCTCGACTCTGGCCCAAATACGCCCCGGAGCACACCGATACGCGCCGACTTGATCTTGTCCACAGATAGATTCGCACCGTAGCTTCCTCCAACAGGCGGACCGGCGATCACTGCAGTTGCCGTATAGGGATCCTGTTCGTCGAAGCCGGCCAGGACATCGAGCATCAAGGCAACGTCTGTGACGGTCCGGCACATTGGACCTGGTGTATCTTGGGGAACCAGTAGGGGCGACAGACCAGTCCGGCTGATTATACCAGGGGTACATCGAATACCCACGAGTCCGCAGAAGGACGACGGCACTCGAATAGAGCCACCAGTATCCTCGCCCACGCCCAGCAGACCAAGATCAGCCGCTACCGCGGAACCTGTGCCTGAGCTAGAGCCTCCAGGATCTCGTTTCGTATCATACGGATTCTTCGTTGTCCCGGACAGAGACGACGTCGAGTGCCAAGACGTAGCGAAGTCTTCGACCATTCTGTCAGTTGCACGGATTTTGATTCTCAATTGGTGGCCTTACCTGGCATCGTGGTCTTCGCCAAAATGATGGCCCCCGCAGCCTTCAACTTTGCGACTAGCGTGGCGTCTTGCTCTGGGATATAATCTTTGGCAACGATCGATCCGTACGTCGTCGTGAGGCCTTTGGTACTGGCCTGGTCTTTGACAACTACGGGAATACCATGGAGTGGCCCTTTCAATTCCGACGTGGATTTAAGATGCGCATCTAAAGCATCGGCCTCTGCGAGAGCTGGTGACGAAACCGCCAATGTACTGTTCAACTTGGGGCCATCGTCGGCTTGGTCGATTGTCTTGATGCGATGGAGATAGTATTCGACAACTTGCCGGGCTGTGAATGTGCCATCACGGTAGCCCTTTTGTGCTCGGGCGATAGTCAGCTCCTTCAACGACGTGTCCATGGTGTATCAGTTGTCGAACCAACGGCCGTTGATCTTACAGACAGGGAACTTGCAAAACTCCTGTAACGTACACCAACTGACAGTGTCAACAATCAGTAGTTCATGACTTGAGTCGCTGCGGGGATCTGACGGAATTCCTACCCAGGTACGAGGTATTCTGTCTCCGCTGAAATCCCGGTCCTTATCGTGGAAAGGATCGGACAAGGCTGGATACTCAGGGTTGTCCTATCTAGGATAGTGACAGAGGGTTATTTAACCATCGAGCCCAGCGAGGCCCTTATCTCTGGGCGCCTCTTAGGTAGAGAGCCTAGAACTGTGGGCGCTACCCACCCGTGCCGGCTGAAGGAAAACTTTCTCGGCCACTTGAATCGGATATCACCGCTTGACCAAGGCATGGCATCGGTTCAAAATTGCCCAGGCTGCAGGTACCGTGCAATGCTTCTCTTTCCGGCATACAGCAGACATTCGATACGTTCGGTTCGATGGTGTTGAGCACTCCAGCTCTCCGAGAGCATAGGCGCGTCTATCAGGTTTGTGTCCCTCGCTAAGACTGTTGTACGCGTGGTCAACATATGCTGATCAATGTTCCTCAGGCATGCGAGCCGTGTCGGCTCAAGAAGGTTCGCTGTGAACTGGGATCTGTCGACCAACCCAAGAGAGGGCCTTGCGCGCGTTGTCGCAGAGAGAATAGAGATTGTTTCTTTGCTGCCACGCGGACCAGGAAGCTTACATCCAGCTCAATCTCGGGTCAGGATCATGAGCCTCGTCATCCTCCTGGTGCAAAGCGACAGCGGACTGCATATCACGGAGAACATGAGCTGACATCGTCACTATCCGAAGAGGGATCTCCTCCCGCTTTCATTGCTCCGTTAGAGGGTTCAACAGGGGAAGAAACCCAGGGCAGGCGTGCTGAAGCAGCGCTTCTGAATGGACATTCCCGAACCTGGCATGACGCTCTCACATTACTGGCGAGAGTCTGCGACGAAGATGGGACGCAAAAAAGTGCCGTCGAGGTGCAGTCACTGTCTCCAGAAGAACAAGCACATATGAGACAGGCTGGACCTGCTGCTTTCCCCTTCATTGGTAGCACCGTCTCTCAAGATACCCAAGCTGCTTTGCGGGCCTGGTCGACGCTGCGATTTGTGCGTGGCGGACTGTTCACGGCTGAAGAAGCCATGGATATGGTAGACCATTTCTACACTTACCAGGCACCCTTTTCTCCAGCTGCCCCAGAGTATTATGCGCATCACAGCAAACATCATCTCCTCATCGAGGAAGAGCCGATCCTGACCATAACAATGTTGATGATTGGTTCCCGATACCGAACATGGACTGGGCCAGCGTCGATATCGAGGTCCCGCGTCATTCACGACCGACTGTGGAGGTATCTTCAGGGGATGATCTCGCGTCTCTTCTGGTTCGAGGACAATTTTGTCGGGGAGTTCACCTCACTGAGAGATCCGTCAAGTAGCATGCAGAAAAGGGGACAAGACTCTGTGCGATCCATCCGGTTTCGCACGCTGGGCACTTGCGAAGCTCTGTTACTGGTTCTGGACTGGCATCCAAGGGCCCTCCATTTCCCTCCGATTGATGACGATACCACTTCGATTGTGATTGCCGAACAACCAAGGTCGCGGAATACTGGCACATCGGGTGGGGAGTACGAGACAGGAGCAGGTCACCTCTGGCTGGCTCGCTCCGGGCACTTGTGTCGTTCGATGCTCTCTACTGTCTCTATGCTCGCCACTGAACTTGGATTCTTCGACGGGAAAGAAGGGCCTTCGACATACTACTCTGAGTACCGTGACTACTTGTACCGGGCTCCATCGACTCGTCAGCGGGCGCAGTCGTTGCAGTATTTGATTTGGATATATGCTACGCAGCAGCAGACGGGACCACCGAGTATGTTGATTGATCATTCCCCCATTTGACCCCTTCTAGTACGTGTGGGTATACTGATGTAGAAACTCAGGCTGGAGAATCAGCACACCCACACCATCTGCACTCCAAATCGAAACGCACTTGGACAATACGACCGAATGCTGGGTTCGAGTGGCGACATTGGTGAAAAAAGCCGATGAAGCACTCTTCAAGTCTCAGCGGTATACCCAGAAGATTATCCGAAACGGACAGTATCTCTCAATCATGCAGTCGTTCCAGCCGCTGCTGCAAGAGTTCATCATCAAGTTCAATCACGCAAAATGTAACTTGGTCGCACCCTATACTCGGGCTCCCGGGCTAACGAACACCAGTGTCTCGACAAATGCGACTCATCTTGTCGATTGAATTCAACTACATTCAATTGTGCATCTTCAGTCTCAGCCTGCAGGCAATGATGCTGATAAAATGCCGAACTGGAGCCAATGAATCCCGAGTCGATTACGATTCTCTCCATACTCCTTCTACCACAGACGAAGAGCACCTGCGCAGAACCGCCAGAGCAGCCCGAAGTATCGTCTCGGTTGTGGTTGACGACCTTCTCCCTGACGGCGACGTCAAGCATATTCCTGTTCGCTCATACTCTCGGATCTTGGGAGCAGCTCTGGTTCTTCTACAGGTATGGGCACAGTTGTTCCACGTTGACTGACTTGGATGTTCTGGAGGCTGACAGTGGACTAGATCTGCGCGTCAGAAATGAAGCATGTTCTCGACGTCTCTGCGACTTTTAGCCAGATCAAAGAGCTTGGGACTGCTCTCGAGACCTGCGTGGTTGACGATACACACCTCAGCGCTCGATGGGGTGTCCTTTTGGCTGGGCTAACAGACAGTTTCCAGTCGCGGCTTTCTCAACAACAAATCATCCTTTCCGATTCCCGGAGAGACGAACCCAATCCAAACCGGACGGGAACCTCTGAGATGCCCGAAGCTTCTGAAATGTTGAGTCGGGCATCGAACATGAACGGCCGCACACAGCATCAAAGTCACCCCGATATCGCGCCCGGGCTTCGTCCCAGCGCGGAGGGCATAGGAACCACATTACAAGCACCCAACTTTGACGTCTATTCCATGTGGTGGGATATCACGCGGCCGGTGGATGCCATGACGGCTGAGCAGAGTATGCGGTATGTTCCCATCACTTCGGTGGAAACGGACATGTCTCTACCAGATGTGTCTTTGGGAAACGGACACGATAGCTCGTTTAACTTTCCGACGAACTTGTTCTAGACCATATATATCTCTGTACGAGTATTCCCAAGACATAAATGTGGCAAATCTCCGGTTGGAGGGATATAGAGATCCACCAGGACCGCGATCTTGTTGCAATTTACATGACTGGGTACATGGACCACCTTGTTTCGCTCCGTATGCCTCCCTCTCCGGTCCGCGACTTGCCGAAGGATATTTTTATCTCTTAGTGGCTCCCTCTCTCGTTACCGTTCGGTGCAGAAGACCTGACAAATTCCCCATGGCCTGGTTTCATGCAGATGCAAAAGAAAATTTACTTTCGCCGTGGATCAAACCATACTGGCTGGACTTGACGACTAAATGCACGCCCTTTCTACCTGCACACGCAGGCTTTTCACGAGGCTGCCGCCGCCTTTGACCAGACCATACTCCAGCCTCGTGGGTGACAACATGTCTCGCGTCAAGCACAAGGCCATGATCAACGTCGACCTGGGAGAGGGATATGGCAACTGGTCGTGTGGACCGGATCCCCAGAGACTACTCCCCCTGATCGACCATGCCAATATAGCCTGTGGCTTTCACGCGTCGTGAGTGCATCTTGTATTCTTGAGAGAATTGTCACTGATTGACATTTGGGGTAACAGAGATCCCCTCATCATGATGGACACGGTCGAGCAATGCAAAGCCCACGGCGTCAGAGTCGGCGCACACCCGGGATTCCCAGACCTGCAGGGCTTTGGGCGGAGGGAGATGAAACTGTCCCACGAAGAACTCACGGCCATGACCATCTACCAGGTCGGCGCGCTCAAGGGGTTTCTCGACCGGGCAGGCGTGCCGCTCCACCACGTAAAGCCGCACGGGATGCTCTACGGGGTCTGCTGTCGCGACTACGACGTGGCAAAGGCGGTGTTTCGGGGCATTCCCGAGGGGGTGCCTGTCTTTGGTCTCGCGGGGACGTGTATGGAGCAGGCGGCGCGGGACATGGGCATCGACTTCATCGCCGAGTTCTATGCCGATGTCAAATACAATGCGGATGGCACTTTGATCATCGATCGGAAGAAAGGGTATGTTGTTATGACCCGCTCCTGACCACATTTACATTTAATATCTCTTTTCATCAAACCCCTTCTCTTCATCTGATTTTGAGATAGGGCATGGGACCGCGAAGAAATCAGCCGCCGAGTTTCGCAGCAGCTGGAAACGAGGAGCGTGGGTGCTGTTGACGGCTCGAGCTGTGACCTGCGAATCAACGACTACAGCACGTCGATCTGTTGTCATTCTGACAGTCCAGGGTGCATCGAGATCGTCGAGGAGACGCGAAAGGTGGTTGATGCTTTCAACAACAAATACTTTCCCGGTGGTTAGTATAGTCGTTGCATTAGGTACTACGGCAGCCCAGGCAGGATAACGACAACACCACCACCACCACTTTGTCGTTTCAATCTTGAAACCCGCCCGGCCTCCCACTCACGCTTTGGTCTGTATCATTGGACCGGCTCGGCATATACCAACAGTAAGTGAAAGTTTGTTCAATCTCGGTTCGGAAAACCACGGCTCAAGGCTCAGTCGGTTCGATATCCGATACCCACCAACATGCCACAAGCCACGAGGTTATCAAACCTTTTGCTCGCGAACCGAGATACAAGTTACTAACAAGATCTACTTGTAAACAGGAAAATGCCCGCTCGAGGCTTGGAAAGGGCCCACAACGCCACATTCGCAAGAACAACCACCACATGGATAGATGATGGTCACAGGGAGAGATACACAGGGCACAGCAGCCTTGTGCGGATTTGTGTTGGGATATTGTTGTTGAAATACAATCTGGACAGATCATGCCGCTTCGCCTGCGCAATAACTGCGAGGTTGTCGATACAGCTTCAAGTCTTTATGCCTGCCAGAACTTCTCTGAGTGATCATTGCCTCGATATCAAAATCAACTGGTGCCTCGAACAATACATTCACAATCACAAATAACAACCGTCTGTCCCTTTTTCTCTGCCATCCCTCCTCTTCCTCCAATCTCAAGATCGCGTTGTACATCCCCAGCTCTCGGAATGGACTGTACAGGACCCGCCTCGAAGACAGTGTGCCAACTGCCCGTGCCCGACTTTGAGGACCAAACCTCTTTCCTGACCGCAAAACACCCCTGCGCTGATTCCTGCATCCCCAAGAACATATGGCCGATTCTCCCCAGGAACATGGATTCGTCGGTGCTTTGCAATATCCATGCGCTTCCCTCTTCGTCAGATTCTGTGTCCTTTGTAACATCCCGCCACACCTCTTCGTAGTCTGTCAGAGTCCCATTGCCTTCCTTGTCGAACTTGCCCGTCTCTAGGCTGTCGCCGTTGCTCAAGTCGACAAACGACGCTTCGTCGGATTGCCGACTCCCCTTGGAATCGATGATGCGAGTCCACCGAAACGTCACTGGGAGGAGGTTTCAGTCGGTCAGTTCTTTCAACCAATCTCAAGACTTCATTCATATGTATTATGTTAGAAGGTACCTACGTCCATCGCGTGCGAGCGTCTTGCGCTCACCTGCTCGACTCCACTGCAGCGTCTTGTCGGTTAGTGTCACACGAAGGTCCATATAGTATCCATCCACGTTGAGGGCGATAGTGTCGGTGTCTTCAAAGGCATCGTCTGGGAGCCAGCGAATGCTGACTCGCTTGAGGATCTGGGGTGTCGATTTGATCACCATCTTCGACTCTTCCACTCACTCCCACATGCGAAAGCGAAGCATAGTTTTGGTTCGTCAAGGCGCAATGTCCCAGAAGCTGGTCGATGCTCTATTATCCACCACCCCTTGTTGCCCCAAATACTACTTGTGTCTACAACTGATCTTGACCCATAGTGTATGACAGAAGTATTCTCCCCATCGTTTCCCCGGAAAGTGAGCGGCCCTGGTTAGCCTGGCGAGTCACCGACTCCACCGCCGAGAAAAAGGCTCGGAAATCAACGGCGGCGGAGCTCTGCGTTCTCGGCTCAATGATAAGGAATAGTCTTTTGGGGGTATCCCGTTGATCAGGTCAAGCCGCCAATCAACAACGAGGACTGAATACCTGATTCGGATAATTGATTGTTTTCGGTTGGAGGAAAGAGCTGGATCGTTTCCCAGCCAGTCCTAATATTTCAATCTCCACCGGATACCTCGTATCTATCTCTTTTCCTATGGATCTGGAGTCATGTCAGAGCCAAGAGGCCCCTGGGCCCCCGTCTCATGATAGAATCCGCCAGATACCAAACACCAGGGAGTGCCGGCCGGCAATGTCGAAGTTTCCCATATATCTCGTGTACGGGATTTGAGCGCAGGGGGGGACGAAAGAGAGATAAAGATCCCTGTAACCGCCAAACCGGACTTCTTTAACACACTTTGCTGTTTCGTTTCCCCTGATCCTGCATTGACCCCAGAAACGAACGGATTTCAGCCAACGCACATTCCACCATGCAAGACTCCAAGGGAGAGACGACGCAAGAGGTGGGAGAGAAGATCGAGACGGACATCTCCCAAGAAGCCGTGCAAGACAGCAGCATTTTGAAGGCCGATCTGAGCGAAGATGACGGTGAGGTCTTCAAGAGTCACACTGGCGTGGCCGAGTTTCGAGCCTTGGGATGGTATGTGGTCACTCTTCTCTGCTCTTTACTACAAGGGGAACACTCGCTTATGTACAACAACGCAGGATCCGAGCATGTATTATCCTCTTGAAGCTGTGTTTCGCCACGGGTGTATTGGGAATTCCCTACGCCATGAATGTGACGGGCTATGGACCGGGCATCTGCATCCTCTTCGGCTGGGGAACCATGACAACCTGTAAGTCGCAAACACCAACACCGTGACATAGCTTGTGTTGTGTACCCTTGCTCACGAACACGGCTTGGTTCAAGATTACGCCTATATCATGTACCTGTTCCGCATGAGATACCGTGGCGTGCACAACATCGCCGATGGCGCCGCCGTCATGGGAGGGCCCATTGCTCGCGAGGTCGCCGGGGGCTTGTTCCTCTTGACGTGGATGTGAGTTTCTCAAGCGCTTCCTGAGAGTGAAACATCTTCGCTGACGGGTTATGCACACAGCTTAGCCGCTGGCTCCGGGTTCATTGGGTTAGCTCAAGGGCTGAAGATTCTCGCCAACGGCAAAGCCTGCACGGTCGTCTGGACCATGGTTGCGGCCGTCTCGACAGGCATCGTCTCGAGTATCCGCACATTGGGCAAGATGGCCGTCTTGACCTGGATCGGGTTTGCTTCCATCTTCACGGCCGTCTTCATCGTGGTGTAAGTTTGTCCCATGTCGGGTCGACAAGAATTCAGACAAGTTGATATGATATTGACGATTTCTTACATAGCGTCGGCGTCACTCAAGTCGACAGACCCGCCGCCGCCCCGGCCACTGGTCCCTTTGATCTTGGTGTCATCGCCGTAGGGTCACCCGGATTCGTGGCAGGACTTACCGCGACACTGAATCTTTTTTGTAAGAACAACCACCACCAACAAGACTCCCCAAGCCCTTCTAGCCAGAGAAAAAGGATACTAAACGAGGTATGTACATATAGCCGGCTACGGAGCCACACCGACCTTCATGCCCGTCATCGCCGAGATGAGGCGGCCCAAATCCTTCCCCAAGGCTCTCTTCACCTCGCAAGCGATCCTGTCCGTCTGCTATATCACCTTTGGCACCGTGGTATACGTGTGAGTTTGTCTCTCCAAAGTCTATTTCTGACAGAGCTGATAATCTGGTCCAGCTACTGCGGTCAATACGTGGCCAGCCCGTCGCTCGCCAGTGCCGGCGGGACGATTGAGAAGATTGCATTTGGGATATCGATTCCGGGCTTCATCATGACCTCGACGCTGTGGATTCACATGGCTGCCAAATTTGTCAGTGTCCTCCTCCTCCCGGCTAGAGCCAGAAGATAATGCTAACAACTCTCCCTGAGTAGCTCTTTGTCAAGATCCTGCGCAACTCTCCTCACCTACAGAGCAACAGCATCGTGCACTGGAGTACCTGGCTGTACGTGTCCGCCCTCCCCTTCTTTGCCTCCTTATTCCACCTGCTGGCTGGCTGGAGACACTACCTACATTTGAAGATATGAACTAACCAGATCCTGTTAATTTAGAGGCTCGACCATAGGAATCACGCTATTGTCATTCATCGTGGCCGAAGCGATCCCCTTTTTCGGGTTTCTGCTCGGACTGATCGGCTCGCTGTGCTGTGCTCCGACATGTGTATGTTTTGTTCTTCCCCTCCTCCCTCCATCCCTCCTCTTCTGGATTACCAAATACTAGAGAGCCTGCTAAACTAAGCCTTGTGATCCGTCCTAGTTGATAATCCCCGCCTTCATGGGCCTCTACATGGACCGGGGCACGTACAACACGAACTGGCGCCGCCGCACCATCTGCGGCCTGCACCTCGCCGTGATCGCGCTGGGCTCCTTCATTACCGTCGCGGGTACGTACACGACCATCAAGAGCATCGTGGACGCGTACCGCGACGGCACCGTCGGGGGCGCATTTAGTTGTGCCTGAGTACACTGGTATCAATGTCTGGGTCAAGGTCAGGACTCTGGAGAGAAGAGAAGAGAAAAGACGAGAGAGGAAACAAGGGCAAAGCACGAAAGAGTCTTGTTACTGTTATTCATGGCGTATATGTAAACATACTATACAATAGAGCGATAGACAAGACATTTCCCAGAATCTGAATCTGGGTGGTATATATGACAATGTGATGCGCATGTCACATCATCCTTCAACATGATAATCCCCCCTAACCAACTACTGCAAGCCATCGTAGTCTGTCTGCCACATCCCCATCGGCTCAAATGAGTCCGCCATGAAGGCGTCCTGGAAGAAATTGTCATGGGTATCAAAAGACCACGACAGAGGATTCAAGTCCCATTCTGCCGAGGTCTGCGCCAAAGCGAACTGACCGCCATTATTCGTGGGCATGGTGCCAGGCTGCGGGAGGATGTGTTGCTGGGATCTCCACAAGCCGGTATCTGGCTGGACCTGAAAAGGCTGCTGGTCGGTGCTCGGCGCCTGCGAAGGGTCAATGTTGCGGCGTACATTCACGTTCCCGAGCAATGGGACCTTCAGGTTCAATTGACGAGAGTTGACCGCGTCGCCATTTTGCTGAAGCAAAGCATTGAGAGAACGAATCGTCATTGCGCCGAGTCGTGCAAAGCTGGCATTGGTCGTGTCACGAGATTTCTCGTCCATAACCTTGAGCACTTGCGCGGCAATGCCCTGTATTCTCGCCTTGTTCACTTCCGGGTCGAGATGGTTGCTGGAGGGGCCCGTGTGGGATGTGAGGAGGAGAACCGTGGTTGCGGTGAATGCTTGTAGATCCAAGATCGGAGACAGAAAAATACCAGAGGGCAGCATACGACGCAGAGCTTGATAGCGTTGCGCGACCGCTTCGCAGGCTTCCATGCATGTCAAACGGCTGTACATATTTCCCTCCGCCGGGTCCTGGCGCATGGTAAAAGGCAAATGCACCCTCATCAAAAAGTAATAATGCAATAGTTGGCAGAGACTCTCAGGTTTGAAATGCACAAAATCCTGGTCCCACCAGGACTTCGGAGTCTGAGCAGCAAGAACTCGCAGCTCTCGGTCGAGCTCCAGCGCGTACGCATATGCCTGTGCACCAGATGCATGGTTGGCACCGAGATCGTCCAGGGTAGAAAACTTGGCTGTTATATCCGTTAACTTGTTCAGATAAATGGGGACCTGAACGGTGCCGTTGATTATTATAGGCTTCAAATTAGTGTAATCTGAGCGCCGTGTGGCAGGGGGGCGGTTGACTATCATGCAGAGCAGTCTCTCCGCTGAGCACATGAACTCCCAAAGCTGAATCCTCGGGAGCAGTGATTGGTCTGGTGTACCATTGCCGGGCGGGAGGCTTTGAGACGCTTTCGGCAGTCCGAGAAGCTCAGCCATGGCCACAAAGTGTCGCATGCGGATCCATGCTTTCTGGAAATTCCCTTGGCTTATTTGGCTATCGCGCTTGTCAGCTCGTTTCGACCATTGACATGTCCACTGGAACATCTTACAGCCTCAAAAACTGGTAGTTCTTGTCAGCATACGTTGGCAAGGACGGCTTGGATGGCATGAAGGAGCACAGGACAACAATGCCATTATAAGGTGAGGCCAACTCACGTGCATCGCCATCCCCAATCCCTCAATTGTTCCCATCAGTCGGTCGTGCGATATTAACGTGCTCTCTACCGCGTCAGATACTGCCCGAGCAAAGTCGTGGATTCTGCGAAATCTTTTGAGCGACGTTTCTGGGCTGCCGTGATCTTGTGGTTCTTGCAGCCCCGTGACAGCAAGGTCAAGAAGCCATGATGCCAAGGATATGGCATCAGCATCTGGCGCGCACATGCTCTCATAGCTGTCCAGCAGTTCGGTGTGAGATTTCACCGCAAATGGTTGTGGAAGCAGGGCATGAACGAGATCAATCCATTTGGACGCTGTCTTGGCCATATCCCGGGCGTCCTCTCTTTGAGGAATTAGCTGCTGTAGTGTCTGCCGAGCCAGATCCAGAAGGTGGGCGGATGCCTTAGCTTTGCGGTCCTGTAGTTGCTGGTCTAGTTGACCGAAATCCCCACTCAACCAATCATTCTGGAAAAGCGAACGGAGGTGTGTTGGTTGCTCGGTCGCAAGGACATCTGAAACGTTGGATTCATTGTCCGAGTCATCGTCCCCTTGACTGCTGGGAGCCTGAACAGAAGCTGGTCTTGCGACGTCTGTTATTTGGTACCCAAGCTTCGACTGAATTTCACGCACTGTCTTGCGCAGATTGGCGACCTCGACCTCTAGGAGAGCAATTCGATGACGCGACGGCAATCTCTGCTCGTGGACCGGCCGAGAAGTGTAGACTTGGGCAACACATTTCACGCCTCGGTCTTCGCAGCTTCGACATGATTCTGCATCGTCAGATCTTCGAATACAGCGAATTTTGCGACGTCTACCTGCACATTATCAGAACAGCACTCTTGACGCACCGCAACGAACACAGACACTCGCTACAGCTCTTTGTCCCCTTCCGTGATTGACTAGGTATCTCAGGTTGGGACATGTCAGAGGGTTGAACGGTTGCTCGAAAGTCCCGGAGCAAGGAGATATTCGGCTCGGACACAAGAGCTCGCTGTATCTGAGAAGGGAATAATGCTCGGCTTGCAGCGTAGATCGTGGCTGGGCTCGACGAAGTTGTAGTGTTGGATGTTCGCAGCTCGGATTTCGGCGGGAAACGAAGCCGAATCGAAACTTGGAGCAGCGCTTTGACGCAAGGCAAAGTTGCCGCTTTAGGAAAAGTCACGCGTTCACGGCTGCGGTTCTTGTCCGCGGCTCCGTTTTTGTTGCGAGATTCCGCCGTCACCTCAAGTGACTACCAACTTCTATTGGTCTTCGGTGGCTGCTTTGATATCAATCATTGTTCGTGCACCGGCCGATGGGACAATTGGATCCCTAGTGCGAACCGATGCCCCTCCATACTGTTGTTCGATCTCGTATCGTGAAGATCCGCCTGCGTCACAAGTGGAGGGGCCCATGTATATAACAATGGACTTCCCAGTAGAAAGAGATGGCTATGGTCAATATTCAACGTCAACAGTCTATCGATATTTGCCTGTCAAGAATATCACAGACCCTACGATACCCAATCGCTACTGTCGCAATTCACCAACGCAATGGGAGGACCATATCCCCCGACAACGGCCGCCATAGGTGGCGTACCGACGGTTGGCACCGACATCCCAGCAGACGCTGTCCTCCTCCTTTTCTATGTCTGCTTTGCAGCCACGAACATGACCATCTTTCAGCTCAATCGGCGGAGGAATCACAAGTTCATTCCATCGGCGCTCCTGTTCGGCTTTTGTATGGCCAGGACAGCCACTCTGTGTCTGCGGATTGGGTGGGCGACAACGCCGCATGATATTCAACTGGCGATTGCGGCACAAATCTTTGTAAACGCAGGCATATTGATCATCTATATCATCAACCTGATCCTCGCACAACGCATACTGCGAGCATCACAGCCACAAATTGGATGGAATCCAGTCCTGCGAGCCGCATACAAGTTGTTGTACATCGGCATTGGGGCAGCACTCGTCATGGTCATCACATCCGTTGTCCTCTCAATGTACACGCTCAATCCGCACACCAAATCTGTTTGTCGAGATATCCAGCTCGCGGCGATCACCTACCTATTCTTTTTCACCTGCCTCCCTGTCATCCATACTGCATTAGCGGTCCTTTTGCCGTCGTCGAGAGATGCGGAGAATTTCGGCCACGGCAGCATGAGGAGCAAGTTGATCATTGTTACCTCTTCGGCCTGTTTATGTATGTTGATAGCAGGCTTCAAAACTGGTATCACCTGGGAGTCCCCGCAACCAGCTACCAATCCACCTTGGTACGACTCCAAAGCCTGCTTCTATGTCTTCAACTTCGTGCTCGAGATCATCATACTTTTTATATTGACATTCAGTCGAATTGACAAGCGATTCTTCATTCCAAATGGGTCGACAAAGCCTGGAGATTACAGTCGAATTTTGGAAGAAGGTGAACAGAAGACGGAACATGCTTCATGGTACGCTTCGCCACAAGAAAACGAGAAGGACTGAAAAGGGAAATTGTTGCGCACATTGTAACGATTAATGATGATTTCTGCATGATTAGAGAAGCGGACTATGTATGCTGTATGCTTGGCTAGACATCAATTGTATTTCTTATAGATTTGTCAGTCTTGATTCTCATGTTCCCTCGTGTTTCTCCACAAATATGCCAAGCACTGTGGGCAAGCTGTCCAATTGCTCCGCCGTAGCGCGTACAGTGGTTTTACGCGTCGCGTCCATCTCGAATTGGGAAGCGGGATCTTTACGACATTTCAGTCGCTCCTTCCCGAGCTGTAGCCAGACATCACTGGTTCACTTTTTTTTTGCATTTTCTCTCTCATTCATGGCTGTCATGTCAACCTAGTTTCCTACCAATCCTACCTCCTCTTGAATTGAAGACAACATGCCCTCAGATATCAGAAGTTTCTTCGGAAATGGAGGGGCAAAGCCTTCGGTGAAGACTGCCACTTCAAAGGTTAGCCGGGGCGTCGTTCGCTCTGTATCGCTCAGCCGAGCATACAGCATAGGTGACTGATCATGAGGCAGGACACCTCCAAAGCGACTACGAAACAGCGCGGCTCTCGCAAAGTCGTCTCCGATGACGATGACGATGATATTGAAGAAGTAGTCAAACCCGCCTCTAAGAAGCCTACCACTCCAAAGCCCGAGAAATCGGCCAAAGAACCAGTGGAAGAAGAGACTACCAGCTCAGCCTACTTTGCGGCCTCAAAAACAAAGTCTGCGAAGTCTACCCCATTGCGAACAAAGGCAGCCGCTACGAATGGTGCCGCAAAAACACCCAGCAAAGAAGTGAACGGCGACACACCATCTACTGGCAGAAGATCCTCCAGAAAGACTGGCAAAAAGAACTATGCTGAACAGGATGAAGATGACAATCCCAATAAAGTCTTGGAGGATGACCGCGAAGGCAATGATGACATTTTCAGTGACTTGAAGAGCAGGAAAGTGGACGACGATTACGAGGAAGGAACAGACGAGGAAGATATAAAGCCACAAAAACGAACGGGCAAGACTGTCAATGGGCACTCTAAAAAGCCCCAAGCAAAAAATGATGATGAAGACGACGATATCGAGATGGCACAGATCCCCGGATATGACGGACCTGGTGATGCGAGAAGTAAGAAAACGTCCAGCAGAACCACTTCCAGTCGTAAGAGAAAGTCCAAAGATCTTGAGGATGAAGATCAGGACGACTTGGACGATGCCGACGACACTCCCAAAAAGAAACCGAGGACTACGACATCGACAACTAGCAGGAAGCCGCGCGCGACCCCCAAAAAGGAGGAAAAGGAGGAAAGCAAGGAGATACAAAATATCTTTGACAATATCCCTACTGTGAGAGCTCCGACTCCACCACCAAGAGATGACAAGAAAAAGTTCACATTTGGTGGCGGTAACGCCAATGTGGCTCCACCCGCAGCTGGCTCTGCTGATATTCCAGTGGGTGCAGAAAACTGTCTTGCTGGACTAACTTTTGTCTTCACGGGGGTTCTCAACTCGCTTGGCCGCGAAGAGGGACAAAACCTCGTAAAACAGTATGGCGGCAAGGTGACAGGCGCGCCATCCAAGCGGACCAGCTACGTCGTCCTTGGTGCCGATGCAGGACCCAAAAAACTTGAAACGATCCGCCAGCTGGGAATCAAAACAATCAATGAGGAGGGTCTCTTCGCACTCATTCGACAGCTTCCAGCAAATGGTGGTGATGGAAAAGCAGCCGAAGCCTATGCCGAGAAACAAGCCAAAGAGGAAGAGAAAATCCGCAAGCAGGCAGAAGACGAGGAACAACGCGAACGTGAGAGACAGAAAGAGGCTGCGAAAGTTGCAAAAGCTGCCGCAGCTCGAAGTGGTGCCCCTGTACCTCCAGCCAAACCAAAAGGTCCCAGAGTGGAAGACAGACTCTGGGTTGACAAATACGCCCCAGATTCAACGAGTGCCGTCTGTGGAAACAAGGCCCAGGTTGAAGGCTTACAGAGATGGCTTCGAAATTGGCCGAAAGCGGCCAAATCAGACTTCAAGAAGGCGGGTGCTGATGGGAAAGGCACCTTTCGCGCAGCTTTGCTCCATGGTCCCCCAGGCGTTGGCAAGACCACCGCTGCCCATCTTATTGCCAAACTTGAGGGCTATGATGTCGTCGAGAGCAATGCCAGCGAGACTCGGAACAAGAAGCTTCTTGAAACTGGGTTGACTGGTGTTCTGGATACTACGTCTCTCCTCGGGTATTTTGCCGGCGAAGGCAAGAAAGTCGAACAGTCGAAACGAAAGCTCCTGCTGATCATGGACGAAGTGGATGGCATGTCAGCAGGAGATCGTGGTGGCGTGGGCGCTTTGGCTGCTATCGTCAAGAAGACCAGTGTCCCGATGATCTTGATCTGCAACGAGCGGAACCAGCCAAAGATGAGGCCACTCAACAATGTGACAGCAGAGTTTCAGTTCCGAAGGCCGACCACGGATATGATTCGAGGCCGGATCGCTACGATTCTGTTCCGCGAAGGCATGAGATTACCCGCACCCATCATCAATGCCTTAATCGAGGGATGCAATGGCGACATTCGCCAGATCATCAACATGATTTCAACTGTCAAACTCGACAATAAGGATCTCGATTTCAGCGACACCAAGGCAATGTCGAAGGCATGGGAGAAACATGTGATTCTGAAGCCTTGGGACATTGTGAACAAGATCCTTCGACCACAAATGTTTGCTGCCAGTTCATCTGCGACCTTAAACGACAAGACAGAGTTATACTTCAATGACCATGAGATGAGCTATCTTATGCTCCAGGAGAACTATCTTAAGACCAATCCTGCCCTTGCGAGCTCTTATAGCGGTAAAGAGCGAGAGATGAAGCTATTGGAGCTTGCAGACAATGCCGCTGCCAGCATTTCTGACGGCGATCTAGTTGATCGGATGATTCACGGTTCCCAGCAGCAATGGAGTTTGATGCCGCTCCACGCTATCTTCAGCTTTGTTCGACCTGCTAGCTATGTGTACGGAATGCTTGGGGGACAGGCTGCATTCCCCACTTGGTTTGGGCAAAACAGCAAGCAGAGTAAGTTGGAATTTCAGTCTCGTGTGGCTTTGTGTACTAATATGCTGTAGCGAAACTCTCTCGCTTTGTCAAGGAGATTCAGGGACATATGCGGCTTCGTACCTCTGCCGATCGTCATGAAATTCGCCAGCAGTATCTCCCGGCCCTATGGAGCAAGACAGTCGGCACGCTCAAGAATCAGGGCAAGGACGCCGTGCAAGATGTCATCGACTTCATGGACTCTTACTACTTGACCAAAGAAGACTTCGATGCCGTGCTGGAACTGGGTGTTGGAGAGTACGACATGGACGGGATCAAGATCGACGCCGCTACCAAGGCAGCATTCACTAGATTGTACAACGTTCAGAGCCACCCTATGCCATTCGTCAAAGCAAGCCACATCCTGGGTACCGCCAAGGGACGAGCGAAGAAAGAAAAACCAGACTTGGAAGAAGCAGTAGAGGACTCCGAGGCAGAAGAACTCCTAGCGGAAGCTGAGGCCGGCGACGAAGAGGATGATGACGAGGATCTGAAGAAGGACAAATACATCAAGGCACCAAAGAAGAAGGCTGCCAGTGCATCTACTGCGGGTGCAAAGGGCAAAGGCAAGAGGAAGAAGGCGGACGAGGATGAGGACGGAGTCGTCGAACCTGGAAGCGACGAGGAACCGAAGAAGAAGCGAGGAACTGGTGGAGCACGCGGTGGCAGGAAAGGAAAAGGACGAGCGTGAGGGGCCATTGATAAATATGACCAAATTGATGGCGGCTCAATTGGCTGGTAGAGACGACCAACGAACATGGAGTGAGGAGTAAAATGGGTGTACATTAGGGGCTGACATTGTTCATACATCGATAAAAGTACAAACTAGAGCCGGCTCGCGAATCGAAGATATAAGGGTAGAAGAATGTAGTAGTGCCAGCACCAGTGTCAGCGAGAGTCTATTGTCTAATACGTATTAGGTACACGGAGTGCTGCTGATTTCTTGACCTTCTGATCCTTCGCTGTGACATAATGATCAACGTTCAGGGTACGAGTTTCTGACAGCCACAGCTAACGAGAAAATGGGCGTACCGCGGACTCACAGGCTGCCATGAATCAACAGGCTGAGATGCAGCGACCTTGAGAGACGAGAGATGCTGCTCTGCATATGAGTGGCGTTGACACTGAACCTACCAGGGTCAACGAGGCTCTGTCACCTCTTAGAACCTCAGCTCCATCTCACCACCCAACAAAAAGACCGAGAAACGCTGTGCCTAGATGCCAATAGGCGCACTGTTGGTGCTACGGACGAGACTTTCCGGTGTTCCATTAGTTATTCACCCCTGTCCCCCAGCCGTCGATCACACAAAAGCCGCCTTACCGCAACCACCCAGTGGCGAATCCTTGATCGAGCCAAGGGTCCAAGCTGTGGCTCTGGGTGGCAGTGTACCGTATTCGGATTGGGGAACCTGAAACGTCAGTTCTGCCCGCATCAGAGCTCACGTGGGAAAGATTTATATATACCCTGTTGTCGTGAAAGACGTCGAGGGGACAAGAGATGGGTAGAGCGCAGCCAGTTGAGACTATATCACAGCCATCCGATATATCGACGTGAAACAATTGTCGACGGGACAGGATCTTGACAACAGCAACATGGGTCTCACCAAGGCCGAAAACTCACCGGGCCTCTCGTTCGAATTCAACAACCCTCGCCAGCGCTATTCTCCTGGCGATGTGATCAGTGGCCGAGTGGTCCTGAACACCGCTGCCGATAGTGCGATTGGCAGATTGGTGGTTTCATTCTGGGGCCGGGCAAAGTCACGGATCATCCAGCAACACGGCCAGAGCGTCACCTACCACCGGGGTCGGACACAGTTCTTCAAACAGGAGTTGCTTCTCTACGAAGGTCAATACACCCACAAGCCCGGATCCTTCAGCTGGCCGTTTGAATTCGTAGTCCCTGAACAGGCGGACGCGACGAGCATCTTGAGCGGTGAGAAGTGGAAGCCGAAGGACCACTATCGAGCGACCACGGATGAGAACGGCCTCGATCTCACGCTTCCACCCTCATGCTATCACAGAAGACACATGTTTGGCCGGCAGGCGGAATGTTTCATCGAGTATGTTCTCGAGGCGACGCTTACCGAGCCAGAAGGTCTGCACCATATCCGCGGACCTCAGAGCAAGGTGTCCAGCTATCCGATTATCTTCCAACCCTTGTCCACCCCAGAACCCATTGAAAACTACGGTCTGGTCACTGACCAACGCCTCTTTACCATCGCAACGTTGAAACTTCTCCCTGAACATGCTGGCACCAGCCTGGGTTTGAGGGACCGTGCCCGATCCATCTTTCAGCGGGACTCTATTCCCAAGTTTTCATTCAATTTGACTGTCCAGGCACCCAGTATCATCCAGCTCTTCCATCCGAACCCCATTCCGTTTTTGATCACCGCGACACCAGATCTTTCTCCTGAAAACACGACCATTGACACTTCGACGTCGCTTCCGACAGTGATTCTCCGCTCTGCAAAAATCGAACTGAAGACGCACATTCGGTGCCGCGCAGCGGGCACTTTTGCGGACACCAAGACCTACGAAATTCCAGTGTTGCCGGAAAAGGCATTAAACCAACCCCTGACCATGGCGCATGGCAGAACCACTGCTGTGGAAGCGACCCTTGACCTCGGGAAGTTGTGCGATCTCCATCTGGGTAATGCGAAACTGGGTTCTCGCCTCGAGACACCCATGTGCCCAAGCTTCACGACCTACAATGTCTCAAGATCATATCATCTCTTGTGGGAGCTGGAGATTGAGTGCGCTGAGAAGACGGAAAAATTTTCCTCGGTCAAAAACGGTCCAGAAGTGTCTATCATTTTGCCCCCAGCTACGGTACGCGTGGACAGTGAATTAGACGCCAATCTGCGTCTGGGCGGAGACCTAATGCAAGCTCTGTCAACGGAGAGCACAGGATCTGGATCCAGTTCGGGATTCTGGTCTCGCCGAAGCCACGAAGCCCGGGTTGGAGGGGAGAAGGAGAAACCAAAGATTGGAACGCCGAATCCCTCGAGCATCGGAGCCGAGCTGAGGGGTCTGAACATTAGTGACGACAAGAAAGCCAGTCAATCTAAAGCCGAAGAGGCAGCTGAGGACCGAGCACGCGCACGTCTTGAAGAAGTGCAAGCGGTGTACCAAGGCCGTCTTCAAGGGTCACTCGGAAGAGGAGTTGGGGACATTGGTGACGCTGCAACAGATGCCTACCCTTTGGCGACGGATCCGAGTCTTCCTGCCACCACCAGACCAGAAGCAACCACGGTCGCTGTGACAGACACGGATGCGGACCAGCAACTACCGAGATATGTCCCATAAGTGTACCAGTCTCATTCAGTGAATTGGAGGCGACAGGTTCGAGATCCTCGTCGACATTGTCAATCGACTCCGACTCTCAGCATATTGAACACGGATTGCTGCCAATTGTTTTTCGGGGTACCCTTGCTGTATTATATGCCTTTGCTGCGTCTACTTGTCAGAATGGTATATTTCATTGTTTTTGGGTTACGGCAGGAACATACCCTTGTGAAGATCATTGCGGTAAAAAATTGGGAATTTGACAGATGAGGGCGACGGATATGAACGGCCTGGTTTGGGTGTTGCGGCTCCTTTTCAAAGCCGCTGGTGTTGATGGTGGGTTTGACGATTCACCTCAATGTGGCATCGGGGAAATGGCGGGGGCTCATAGGAAACATTTGAGGAAGTTTGGGACTTGTCTCATGCATGGCCTTTGAGCGGGCCGTATTATTTAGTAGTAATCCAATATCAGAATGCTGTTTCGAAAAAAAGAAAAGTCTGTTGCCAGCATTGCATGGTCGCATACAGTCAAGCGGCGAGGCTGAACGCGAGGCTGAGTGACAAGGCTGAGTTTCCTGCCTTCCACTCCCACTTCTCTGCCGCAAGACTCCACCGTACCTCATGCGCCTCCAACCGACTCCAAAATCTTGCGCCTTCCACTGCGCAAGATTGAATATTCGCCATAGCACTTTTACATCAACTTGACCGCAGGACACCATGATTTTAGAAGACCAGAGGTTCCTCCATGAGGACCTGGAGCGGCTTGAGCAAGCGATCACCGACCGGGTCGCTGAAGACCCCAAAAATGTACGTCTGGCTGTTTATTTGATCTGTGAATGGAGCGCAACCACTAACTCGCCTTGCCCCAGATCAAAGACCGATTGACGCGCGACCACCAAATAGACGGCTTCCTGACGCGCATTCAAGAGCAATCCAGGCGCCTGCTCGACATATACAAGGACGCCGAGGGTCTCCGCCTGCAAGAAGTCCAGTCCCTCTCGACCGGCGAGCCGTTTGAAGAATTCTACAAACAACTCGACGAGGTCAAAGATTTCCACCGTCGCTATCCCAATGAACCGGTCGAAAATCTCGAGCGCGCCTACAAGCGCCGCCGGCCCGAGGAAGGGGAGTACATTCTCTCCGAGGTGGACAACATGTTCAGCGGGGAAGAGTCCAACGGCCGATTTTTGGACTTGACGCAGCTGCACGAGGACTACCTCAACCTTGCCGGAGTCAAGCGCCTGACGTATCTCCAGTATCTGGACAACTTTGACGCATTCGAACCCCCTCGGCTACCCATCAAACGTCAGAATAAAATCACAGATCAATATTTACAATATGTCGCCAGTCTCGACAGCTACCTCGAAAGCTTTATCCGGAGGACGAGACCACTAGAAGACCTCGCGAAACTGTTTCTGCGATATCAGAGGGATTTCGACACGGCTTGGGAAGCGGGGACAGTGCCCGGTTGGACAAAAGAGCAGAAAGAGCAGGCGTCTACAAGCACCTCGGCGTCGTCGGGTCCTCAGACTGAAGGCACCGGCGCCGGAGTATGGTGTCCGGACTGTGAGAAAGAGTTTACAAACCAGAATGTATACAAATCACACTTGACGGGCAAGAAGCACATCAAGAACGCAGAAGCGAAGAAGTCCCGGGCCGCTGCTAATGGCGATGCCGCCACGAACGGCGCGAAACCCGCAACGTCAAATCCTCCTGCGACAGCACCTTCTCTATCAGGCGCAGCGCTCAAAGAACGCGCCATCGCTGCGCACGAACATCGCATCCGTGCTCTTGCCGATTACCTTTCCAACGAACGGAGTAACACGCGCGTGAACGTGGAGCGCAAGCAAGGCATGACGGAGCGGGAGCGGCAGGCTGAATTGGATGCTCTATTCGCCGAAGACGACGCCGCCGTCGCGGCGTCAGACCGCAAAGCAGCAGGCAGGAAACGAACAGGTGGAGACGACTCGGGGTCCGATTCCGAAGGCGATGAGAAGATCTACAACCCGTTGAAATTGCCCCTGGCCTGGGACGGGAAGCCGATCCCCTACTGGCTGTACAAGTTGCACGGGCTGGGCGTCGAGTTCAACTGCGAGATCTGTGGCAACTTTGTCTACATGGGCCGGCGGGCCTTCGACAAGCACTTTTCCGAGGCCCGCCACATCTATGGCCTCAAGTGCCTGGGCATCACGGGGTCGGCGCTCTCGGGCACCGCGGCTGGCGGCGGCGGCCTCAGCCTGTTCCGCGAGATCACGGGCATCGACGACGCCCTCAAGCTGTGGGACAAGATCAAGAAGGAGAAGCGCGAGAGGGAGGTCCGTGACGACCAGGTCGTCCAGATGGAGGACGGCGAGGGCAACGTCATGCCCGAGCGCATCTACCTGGATCTGCAGAAGCAGGGCATCCTCTAAACGAACAAGCGACAAATCCAAGGAGGGCAGCGGAATCAATCAATCACGGAGTTATATAAAATGCCACCATAAAATTCGGGGTCGGAGTCAGGATCAGGGCGTTCTCTTTTCTGTCGCTGTCTTCCCCTTCATGGAAATCGTGTATGTATGTATCATCCATCCATCAATCCTTCGCAACCTGGGAGGTTGGTTGCTCTGACTTTGAGGAAAGGGCGGGCGATTTTTGGGAGGGAACAGAACACCGTTGAGATGGAGAGCCGGACTGGACTGTATGACCTCTGGCTGGTCAATGCCAAAAAAATTCTTGATTGCTCATTTACAACAGACAACGCCGTGTCCTATCTGTCCAGCAAATACCCAGTACTTCAGTGCTGTATGTACAGCGTACGTAAACATGAATTTCTTCGTAGACCAAAGACGTTCTCTGCCAATGGCAATGCTTCAAGATTCCATGATGCCCTCGCCGACAACTCGTTCCACTCCATCGCCGACACCCTCGTTGCTCATTCTCGCACTACTCACTCCAATACTTCCCTTTTCTCTCTCCTTGACCTTTTCCCCACTCTTGTCGCCGCTCTTTTCCTTGCTCTGGTCTTTATCCACGAGAACGGCATTCCTCACCTTCTCCAACAGTTCCCAGCCCTTGGCCGCCCCGTGGATTGCCCTTTCGACTATCTGATCAAACAGTTCCTCATTACCCACATAGAAGCCGCACAGCATGAGTTTGCACAAGCTGGCCGTGGACGTGGCTCGAACTTCGTCCGCAAAGGTTTGTGAGAGGGCTTTAATGAAGGGCGAGAGAAGGCCAGAGAGTGTGCTGCTCTGGTCGTCGATTGTAGCACTTGGTGCAGGATTGCCATCGGCTGTCTCGGTCGTGGCGACAGGAGAGTCTGGATGCTCGTTGGATTCGGAGTGTGTTGGCGAAGGTGGACCTCTTGCGAGGAGAATATCGCAAAGAATCTGCAGCGCCATGACTTGCAAGGATTCGTGCCCTCTCTTTAGCAAAAGCGTGAAGAGCCGCATGTTCTCGTCGGCAAGCTTCGGTTCAAGTAAACAGCACAATCCCAAGCACTGCACGCCACGTTCGCGAATCAGAGCCTCATGGGATCGCACAGCCGGAATAACCAAATTGTCGAACATGGTGCGCAGGTCGATGTTCGATTGCAGATTTCCTGCCACGTTCTGCAGCATGCATTGAGCGATATGGAGGCATTTCATATTGATGACAATCTCCTTGATGGCTTTCGCTTCTTGCTCCTCGTCCGTCAGATGCTTATTGCGCTTGCTCTTGGCTTGATCGTTCCTAGGCGTCGAGTCACCGCTGACTTCGCTGCGGGCTGAGACGAAACTGTCTTCCTCGTCTGGAGAAGCTTCATCTTCGAGGTCAGAGGAAGCAATATTGTCGTGGACTTCGGCGATGGCTTCGAGAACAATCGAGGTAAACTCTCGCTCGCCAGCTGCATCCGGATTACATACGAGACGTAAGGCTTCCACGGCGAGTCGAGTGCATTCATCTGGTAATTCAGCCATGGATAATGCATGTCGCAACAAAGAAAACATCTTTCTCCTGCCAATCTCATCTGTATAGTCCAGAGACTGAGCAATGTACAAGAGCTGCTCAACGATGAATTCTTGCTCGGCTTGCAGTGCGATCATTTCGTCCGAGTCTGACTCCCTGGCATTTTTGACCCGCGTGAGCAACTCGTTGATGTGTTTCTGGAGATGGAAGCCTAGCCTCGTAACCTCGGGCATTTTCTCTTGAACCATCTCCTGATAGTTTAGATTCGCCTGGCAGTAATCATTGAACGTGCGTGCCATGAAGGCTGATTCCGGAGTTAGATTGTCCCAAAATTCGTCGTCAAACCCGACGGCATCGAGATAATCGGGTCGACCAGCCCAGAACTCTTTCATTGCTTCCCGAGCAACGCCATCCTCGTTCCCGGTGTTCAAGGTGTCAATTCTTTCAAGCAGCTCTAAGAGAGCAGGAATGCTTGGGTCATAGAAGCCGACGTGGAGTTCCTTATCATCCTTTGCGTCCCCAGATTTCTCGGCCTCGGTCCTGGCGCAGTTCTCGATCCAGCATTCTCTAAACAGACGAGCCGCAGCAGCACGCACTCTCTCGTCGCGGTCTCTCAAGCCCCATCTCAACAGCTTCTCCCGCATAGACAAGGACAGGTGTCGGAAATCGCCAAGTCTAGGGAGCAGTTTTGCGTACAGGGCACGTCTCGTTGGAGCGTCACGATCTCTGGCTCGCTCGAGTAGGTAGGGCAAGGTCTTGGGCGTAGCTGGAATGTTGACGAGAAGCGCCCTTCTGACGTCCGCGTTGGTATCGTTTTGGAGGACATCGAGGAGTTTGTCCAGTAAGCCAGGCGCGACATCTTCGTCCGAATCTTGGTCCTCCCCTTCTTCCATTTCGCTTTCCACCAAACGGCCCAGAGCCATCACTGCCTCTAGGCGTATAGCCGGGACCTTGTCTCTCATTCTCTTGATCAGCTCGTGTCTAATGACCTTGTACAGATCATCATCGATGGCTTGCAGGACACCCAAGATCTGACAGGTCAATTGAGTGGCTCGGTATCGCATCGTCTTGTCTTTGGCACAGAGAAACGGAAGGATGCCCAACAGAATGGTGGCAGAGATCTGATTCGAGGCATCATCACTGGCGAGGTACGTCGTGAGGAACTTGATGACACGCGATCCGGCCGGTTCAGATTTTGCAACTTCGAGGAGTCGGAAGACGCATTGTTTGACGTGCGCCTCGAAGTTTGGAGAGTTTTCGAGGCGGCGCAGTCGTTTCGCCAACGTCTTGTGGCCCACTAGAGAGCGCTGAGCATCTGAGAATATCGCTGCGACCGACATTGTTGTGTATTCCGGGTCTGGCGACAGGTAAACTGTTGGGATGAGTTTGTAGCACTGTCGAGAAGTTTCATTGACCCGACAATACCAAATCGGGACAGTGAGTAAACAAACTCGAGTGGCAGCTTAGTCACATTGCCGGCAGACCTTCTATGTATATCTCGGCTTACTTTCCTAATATCCTCCGCAGTCCAGTCCTGTCCTAAGTCCTTCGTACATTCTTCGTACCAAAGGATCAAGTCTCTTCCACCGACTCCAGGCTCGCTGTAGCATCGCCAATTACCCTAACGACCAGGTTGATGGCTACTGAAGGTCCAAAATGACTCACCACGGATAATGCGGTGGCAGCAGAGATGTTGGGCATCGTCTGCAGATGTCGTTGGTGGTCTGTTGCATGAGAAAGCCAAAACTGCGCAAACATACGACGAGGGTCAGACCAGCCTCTACCAAAGTGCACGGAGCGTCCCTTTCCCAGAACATATCTCTGGCGCAAGCCATGTTTCTTAGAGCGAATCGTCACACACCATGTCCCGCGTGGCTACGGAAGGTGGATCCGAGGCCATGGTGCGAATGTGCATGACAGGATCATCAGGGACGATAAGGATGGCGCTTCGCATGGGAACAATGGTCCAGACACCGTTTGCCACTGATCCCTGGAGAGATGGACAGGTGGCGACTTACGAAGCTTCAGAAGTCGAAGTTGAAGGTGCGGTTCCACCCACCCTCCGCCATGGTCAAGAGACCGCGTCGAAACGTCCACGCATGCGTGGACCTCACTCGTAGGCTGGGGGAGAATGAAATCGCGATGGTCAATGTTATGGAAGAGGGGGACGGTGGGAGAAATGGTGTAAGCGGTGGTGTAGGCGATAAGGTTGTGCTTGTAGAGTATGTCGTGGTGGACGCAATAGAACAAACACGTTTCCACGCCACACCACGTCGATCATTCTGTCTGGCCATGACGAGGGCAAGCCGCCCAGCTCGTTTTCTATGCACGAGGACTGTAATTGCTTCGTCCTCTGCGCACCTCTTATTCATCTACTTGTATTGTTTGCGTCATCCAACGGAAGTCGGTGTGATTGATGCCAGCTTAAGCTCGCGATCTCAGCGACATGATCAGCAGGAACAGAGCATGGGGTGACGGATCGATCAACGATCAGCGTCGACGATCCTTTACAATGACAATTTCGAAGCCCTAGTCGACCTGGACTAGTCCTCACTTTGTACGCCGGCGGTGAGGCTGTAGCAAGACTCTTTTCTCAAGGCTGCACACACCGCAAGTCATGACATTTGGGAGAGTGGCGCGATCATCACTGACAGCCACATCCATCCCTCGGCAGATCTTATCCTCCTCAGGTGACGGATATGTTATCCCGGGACAAGGACCCTTGTCGACAAGAGTCGAGGCTCGTTCGCATCCATCGCGGATGAATTGCAAATTGCAGTCCGCCACCTCGTCGCCATCTACGCCAGCAGCTCGATCCTGCGCCAGCGCTGCGGAAACCGGCACTGTCACTTCCGTGTGTGATGGATGGGAACCATTGCGCACTTTGAAGAGAGGGTGACTCATTAACGATAACGAGACATTCATTCTACAACAGAAGATGGGTTGGGCTGCAAAGGCCAGCTGCGCAGCAAATCAGATAACAGGCCCGGGTTCACGTACCTGCTTCCATTGCTTCTAAGCGAAGAGAGACGAGGAGAGACGTGAACCACAGTTTCGCCAAACTATCAAAGACCACATGAACTGCTGCTCCAACTACCCAGTCGTGCCAGTCCCAATGCGCAGTGGTTGGCCCGGTTCCAGGCTGACTTCTGCCTCTTGCGGAGGTTACACAGAGAACGCAGAGTTCTTTTCCTTCCGACCACTCTGCTGGCCCTTTCGGCAGTTGATGCAGGTCATAGTACTTTTCTCATCACGACCCTGCTGCGGCCAAGTGCGTGGTACTCTTCTCCAAGGCACTGGCGAGCCAAACCAAAGGGTCAACCGGAGTCGATTGCTGTGCTTCGGCTCATGTGATGGAGGAACTCGAGATTATGCACAAAGCTCACCGTTTCACCCTCATCGACGACGAATGAGAGTCGTTCCGAGCCACGTTGGGCATGAATTTTCACATTATCAGACCAAACAATCTTACTCGAGCAGT